CAGCAAACAATACCCATAGATCCTCCGCAGTGCGCAGAACCTCCGAGGCACCCCCGTCCACGTTATGTCCTTGGGGGCAACTCCAGTGGTTTCATTCTACCTTTTTCTGAGCTCTTCTCAAAGGAGGAGGCATCCCTCTAAGAGATGCCCGAATTGTTTGCTGGGTTCAGCACTGCCCAGAAACAGTCAGGCACAACCACCTTTCTCTTTCAAGTGAAATTAGCAGTTCCTTTCCAGATCGCCAAGGTTTGGGAGGTCCAGCTTTTGGCAGGGGTCTCAGAAGAGCTTTGGGGGCTGGGGAAGAAGCCAGGAAGTCACCCAAGAAGCCTTGACCGCTGGTGATGTAGGTTCCAGGTTGCCGAGCCCGGCGCACCTGGCTCAGGAAAAGAAAGTTCTGGGCCCCGACGGGAGGGCCGTGTACGCCGAGGCCACTTCCTAGTACAAAAGGGCAATGGGGTGCAGACGGGTCTCTCCATTTCACCCAGGCGCCCAGGAGCCACGCACTGTGGCCAGGAAGCCACGTGGGACTCGCGTCACTGCCACAAAGAAGGCAGGTGAGGAGAGGCCCCGAGTCCTGTGTCTTCGGATGGCCACCACCTGGAGGGGAGAGGGTGCTCCCCGGAGCCACAAGGGCCCCAGGCCCAGGCTTTGCCAGGGAGGCAGACAAACTGTTGTCCCACTTACCTCACCTGACACCACCTACAAAGTGTAGGTCACACAGCAGTGGGGAGGGGTTGAATTTATTTCTCTCAGTGTCTTCTCTGAAGTGTCTTTCCTATTCTGAGCCCCTGACTTAGCCCCATCTTCCTCCACAGTCTCTCTCACACACCCCATCCCCATTTTGGCCTTAATGAGCCAATGGGATCCAGTTTCACCACCACTGGAAGTGGTGTTCTGTGCCTCTCCCAGGCCTTTTCCCGTCTTTACAAAGAGAACTTAAGTTGGTCAAACTTGTACCATGTTGTTGCCACCCCTCCTCTCTCCCCCTAGCCCACAATGAGAACTGTTCTTCAGGCCTTGGATCCAATAGCCTCATTGTGACTCTGTGAGGTGGGGGTGGGGAGGGGTCAGCAAGGATGCAGGGACACACATCTTGGTCAAGTGTGAATTTCCATACCTGGACTCTGCAGTCCCCAGCATTTCAGGCTGTTTGGTGACCGTCAGTACTGCCTTGTGAAATCCAGCCCTGGGTTGCAGTAGTTTTTTGTTTGCTGGATCAGTAATTTTATAATTTATTTATTTAAAATTAAATAATTTGAATTGAATATAATCAATTATTTAATTTTAGTTATATACACATATATATAAATCACATCTTCATATCCATTCATTCATTGATGGACACTTCGGTTACTTCCATATCTTGGAAATTGCAAATAATGCTCCTATGAGCATTGGGGTCTGTGTATCTTTTCATATTAGTGTTTTTGTTTCTTTTGGATATATACCCAGGAATGGAATTTCTGGGTATATGGTAATTCTATTTTTAGGTTTTTAAGGAACCTCCATACTGTTCTCCAACAGTGGCTGCACCAATTTACATTCCCACCAACAGTGTACAAGGGTTCCCTTTTCTCCGCATCCTCATCAACATTTGTTATTTGTGTTTTTTTTTTTTTTTGATGATGGCCATTCTGACAGGTGTGAGGTGCTATCTCATTGTGGTTTTGATTTGCATTTCCCTGATGCTTAGTCATGCTGAGCATCTTTTCATATCCCTGATTGGTCATCCAGGTTGCAATAGTTTTGATGAAGTTGAACTGTAGGGGTCACTGCTGTTTTGTGAGAGTATTTATTTGTACCCTTCTCTGTCTTTTGGGCAGAGTGGGCATTTAGTCATTTCACTTCCTCTTCCCTGCTCACTTAGCTGTCCATGAACCAGGTTGATAACATGAACCTGTCAGGTGATGTGATAATTAAATGCAAAGATCCCGTGACCAGCCTCTCGTGGGGTGCAGAGCACTGTCTCTCAGCCCGGTACCTGTGAGAAACCCCTGGAATTCTTCAGCCTCAGAACCTAGCTCCCCCTGACCAGGGACCTGGGGATCTCTGGGGCTCAGACCTGGGCACCAGTGTTTACAGCTCCCCTGGTGTTGGTGGGCGCAGCCTGGGTTGGGTACGTGAGTGAAGACAGTGAGCAATGCCTCAGCTGCCCTCCCTTGGGAGCCGTGGCTGGAGCTGGGCCCCGTGCTCCCCAGCTTGCTCCTCCAGCTCCCTTGGAGACCCTGCTTTCCATCCCCCTCTCTGTTGTCTTCCAAGAGCCCTGCCAACCTTTCCTGGCTCTATTTTTCTCACCCTGGCAAACGCTGAGGTCTTTAGCTCCACACACTATGCAAGGGGTGGTGCCCTCAGCTGGTAGTCACCTGCAGGGAACGCTAGAAAGGCTTGAGACTGTGAGTCTTTCTCCCTGGCTTTGCCGGAACACAGTTTTCTTTCACTAAAGGGTGAGGAGGCTACTTCCTGAAAACCTGGGACCTTGAGGATTTTCAGTCTGGATCCTTCCCATGGATGTCCTGAGATGCCCCCAGACCAGCTTCCTCCAGAGGACCTGGGTCACTAGCAAGGTTCCTGTGTCAGGGCCCGTATGCACAGAGGCCCCGTGTTGTCATGGAGGGTAGAGGGTGCATCAGAGGCCTCTGTCCCCCCAGCATAGATTTTTTTAAATTGCTTCTTTCTTCAGCTGTTTTATGTTTTCTATATCTGATCATATTTCACCTCATGCTAGATATTCTATTTAAATATTATTTGGGGAAATAAGTTGATGTTCTCTTTCTAGGAAAAAATTTTTATTTACTTATGCCAAACATCTGGGAGTGCTGAATCCCTAGATGAGATGAAACTGAGCTACAGCTGGTGTGGTTAACTATTGGTTAATATTGTTGTTGTTGTTCAGTCACTCTGTCATGTCCAGTCTTTGTGATCCCATGGACTGCAGTGCACCAGGCTTCCCTGTCCTTCACCATCTCCTGGAGCTTGCTCAAACTTGCTCAATATTGTTTAATATTGGCTCACTTTTACTCTGAAGGGATGACTCTTTATGGTCCCTATCCAAGGGAGGAAGTGGTTTACCAGCCCTGTTTGTTTGGTGGCTCCCAGAGTCTGACTTTGTCCCTCAGTCCAACAAAGCCAACAGTACTACAGCAAGACCTCTCCTTTTATGGAGGAGCAGTGAATACCCTAGAGCAGAAGCCATCCTCTCAGCTGCTCACACTTCTCTAGTTTTCTGGTCTTTCCCAGCTCTTAGCTCAGTAATTGCTCATAATGTTAACTTTTTGATGTTCTTGAGACTATTTTTATTTTATTTATATTTTTAGCTTTTTAAAAATATATTTGAAAAATTAATTTATATTGGAGTATAGTTGCTTTACAATGTTGTGTTAGTTTCTACTGTATGGCAAAATGAATCAGCCAAACATATACATATATCCCCTCCCTTTTGGACTTCCTTCCCATTCAGGACACCCACAGTACATTAGGTAGATTTCCCTGTGCTATATAGTATGTTCTCAGATACTATTTTTAGAACATTTCATCCAGCATTTTTAGTTGTCTTCCAGGAGAATGGCTGCTCTGCAGTTCCCCTGTCCATTATGACAGGAAGCAGAACTCCATGACTGCACTGGGTATTGGTTAAAATGCCTCCTCTTCTGTAGGGATGGTGGCTCAGCTCTCACCTCAGCCTAGGCTGATGGTACTACCAGCATCTCTTCCCACTTCTCCCATGTCTGCAAGGTCTCCTGGGCACTACATTCTGCCCTACTTGGTCAGGTTGATGCAGCTTAGGCCGACTAGGAGGAGGAAAGCTAGCCTTAGGAGAGAACCATGGTAAGAAAGCGTTTCCACCTACCATTCTGTGTCCCTGCATGGAGAAGAGGGGTCAATTGAAAGAATGGAGAGTTCTGAATAAAAATGAAAGTGAAGGGATTGTCGAGCATCTGTTGGATGTTCAGTAACATTCTAGGAACAGACATTGGGTCCATTGGATGTGGATCAGTCCGGATATACAATGAAGAGAAAAAAAATCACATAATTGGAACAGAGAAAGTTTAATACAAGGATGTGTTAAGTATAACAGTGTATTGTAGTAATGAGGGACTGGCTAGTAAGAAATACAGAAAACTCTAATGAATATAGAAATAACAGCTATAATGAACAGTGACTACCTCTAGGGCTGACAGTGGGCCCAAGAGGGCACAACTATGACTGAATGAAGCACTCAGTAAATCGTAGCTGTTATCGCTTAGTGGAGGAATAGTGCACGCACATGGCTGCTGTTAAATAGCAAGTAAGGAGCGGTCCCCGCAAAGGGCAGGGTGGCACAGATGTGTGCTGTGTGCTAAGTTGCATCACTCATGTTCGATTCTTTGCGACCCTAGAGACTGTAGCCGGCCAGGCTCCTCTGTCCATGGAGATTCTCCAGGCAAGTATCCTGAAGTGGATAGCCATGCTCTCCTCCAGGGGATCTTCCCGACCCAGGGATTGAATCCCCGTCTCTTATGTCCCCTAAATCGGCAGGTGGATTCTTTACCCCTAGCGCTACCTGGAAGCCCCCGGCACAGATTTAGTGGGCCTTATTAAAGGCACATTTTGAAAGTTGGATTTTTCCCCGATTTGTACCCAAAGCTGGTGTTGAATATGAGTACAAAACCCGGAAAACCGTAGACAAAGTCTGAACTCAAATCTCTTACATTCTACAAGTTTCCTATGGTGGAATTACCCTGGTGGCTACCAGTTCACTTTTTTTTTTTTTTTCCCGTATGTGTCGGAAAAGTACACTTAGATAGAAAGGGAGGGAGGCAAACCACCACACTTGGCATCCTGCCTGGTCTCCCCCTCCCCAGCGGGGGAGCCAGGCACTACTGCGCAGCCGTAGAACGTGGTTTGTGCGCATTCGCTTCCGTACCTCAGTCTGCGTCAGTTATTGCGCGAGCGCGGTCGTGTTCTAGAAGCAGCGCAGACGCCCAGCCTGAGGTACTCGGAGCTGGGCATCCCGCCTCACAATGTCCGAGGAGGACGGTAAGACACCCCCAAAGCTGACCCCCCACTAGCTTTTTCCTCTCTTTACCTGGTTCGGGGAAAGTTTTTGATATGGTTTGAACCCAGTCTGTTTAGAGGGTTGCGCGGACGACCACAGAACTGAGTGGGTATTGGCCAGGGCACAACTGGTTATGGCCTCTCGGCTTCAGTCCCATATTGGTCAGGCACACCCGGGGCTAGGGTGTTCGAGAGGCTCTAGCTGGTCCTGGGGCTTTTGGGGTCCCAGGGTTCATGGTGCCCCAGGGGTTAGAGGTGATTCAAAGCTTGTGGGTTGCCAGGGTTGAGGGGTTCTGGGGCTTTTGGGGGTTCTGGGGTTTCATGGAATCCCTCAGATTTAAGGTGATTTGGGGCTTCTGGAGTCCCGGGATTCATGGTCTCCCAGGGCTTGAGGTAATCTGGGGCTTTTGGGGTCCTGGAGTTCATGGCGTCCCTGAGGCTTGAGGCTATTTCATAATGGAGTCCTAGTTTCATGGCGTCCCGGGGCATGACGTGATCCGATTCATGGCGTCCCAGGGCATGGCGTGATCCGATTCATGGCGTCCCGGGGCATGGCGTGATCCGATTCATGGCGTCCCGGGGCATGGCGTGATCCGATTCATGGCGTCCCGGGGCATGGCGTGATCCGATTCATGGCGTCCCGGGGCATGGCGTGATCCGATTCATGGCGTCCCGGGGCATGGCGTGATCCGATTCATGGCGTCCCGGGGCATGGCGTGATCCGATTCATGGCGTCCCGGGGCATGACGTGATCCGGTTCATGGTGTCTGGGGGCATTCAGGGGGGTGCAGGTTTTCTGGTGTTCTAGGGGCTCAGAGGGATTGTGCGGCTCAAGGCGGCTGCAGAGTTCATGGCATTCTGGGGCGGGGGGTGGAGGGAATCCTGAAGCTTTCAGGTCTCTGGCGTTTATGGCGTCCTTGGGACTTGAGGTGATCCCAGAGGACGCCGATTCTCATGGCGCCAGCACGTGGTGAGAGCCAGCCTCGTTTTCTTCATGAGGGTGGCAGTTATTTCCAGGACCTCTAGTGGTGGTAGAACAGTCTCAGTTGTTACCATGTCAGAGGGTGGGCCACCTCGGTTGTTTACTGCGCGCTCCAGAGGGCGGTGTGTTAGACTCACGCGCAAACAGTTCTGTGCGGCCGCAGTTTTGTTTTGAACTTTATTGCAAGGCATCTGGTGCTCGTGCCACCAGCAGTTGCAGAGCGTGGCGCGTGGTGCTTTGCACAGGAAAGTTATTTGGCTTAATGGCTGAGGCACTCCCGGGAGGAGAGGATTTGCTTTGCTGGTACAGCGAGTTCTAACCTCAAATTGTAGCAGCGCTTTGGGGGGTGGGGTGTCCGTCCTCTCCCCCCGCCGCCCCGGCCTCTCCAGGGATGCCAGAATATGATGGGCTTTTGAGATTTAGCCACTTGCTTTTTAAGTACTTCGTGCTGACTTTCTGGAACAAGTTGATCCTTTTCTTTCTTTTTCTCTGTCAGAGGGTGTTGGGTCCAAGAAGGACCAAGACTTTCAGCCATTATGTAGACTTTTAAAAAATATTGCAACTTTATTGTTATTTCCTTTTAGATTTGCATTTCACTGAGGTAACATTGGTTCGTAATGTGTGTTTCATGTGTGCCTTTTATTTCTACTTCTGTATACCCTACAGCATACTCAGCACCAAAATTTTATGTGGAATTTTGAGTTTATAGAATTGACAAGCTAGAGAGTTGATTCATTATAACATCTTTTGAGATTGGGACGTTGAATTTGAGGCTGTGTTTGATCAAAGACAAATTGGGCAGCCTGTGTGTTTTATGGTAAATATGCAAATTAGGAGAAAAAATAAAGATACGTGTATGGAGAAATCCCAGCACAGAGTGCATTCTTTGCTTCAAGAGGGCAGATGCAGGAGTCAGAGAACACTGCAAAATGTGAGGACACCTGTAAGGCAGGAGAACCCTTTGGTGCGCACTCCAGGACCAACCTGCTGGCTGTACGGGTTGAGCATGGTTCGGTAGAAAAGACTAATTTAGTAAGTTGAGGATAGCTTCCCTCCCTGCTCTACCCAGTTTTCTCCGAATTAAGACTGCTCCCGGGTTTTATAACAGGAGGTGGTCAACTGGTTTAATGTTTACAAGTACAGATTTTACAAGCATCTTTTGTATGCATTGTTGGGCATGGGGTCAGTTCAGTTTCAAGCCTGCCTGTAGCAAATGCAGGGCGATGGGACACAGTATTATCATCCTTTGGGATCAGGCGGACTTTGTAGTCTCTAAAGTTTGATTGAAAGAGTAGAAGGACTGCTTTTTCCTGAAAGAAGATTTAGAAAGTGTTTTGATGCACATTTTTGCTAAAAAAAAAAAAAGGAATGATCTGGCCACTGTTATCTGTCCTGTTTAGTTGTGTATATTCTGTGTATATTCATTGCAGTAGGCTTCCCTGGTGGCTAAGACAGTAAAGAATCTGCCTGCAATGCAGGAGATGTGGGTTCAACCCCTGGGTTGGGAAGATCCCCTGGAAAAGGGAATGGCAACCCCTTCCAGTATTCTTGCCTGGAGAATTCCATGGACTGAGGAGTCTGGCAAGCTACAGTCTATGGGATCACAAAGAATTGGGCATGACTGAGTGACTAACACTTTCACTTTTCATTTTTTGCAGTAGTTGTCATGTGACAGGTTTTAGCCCTCATCATTGTGAACTATGTGTTACTTGATAAATTCATGGCAACTTAGTTCCTTGCACCTTAGGAGCATAATCTTCAAACAACTTCTAAATGTTATAGTGTCTTAAAAATTGCCTGTGAAGGCTATGCATATACCTAAAGAAATTAATTGGAATTTTGCAGATTAACTGAAAAACTGTAGTGGAATTGTCAATTGCTTTACTCATACTAGTTTGAAAGATCTGTTGATGTACAAAAGCTTATCTTAAAAATAAAATTTCAATTGGCTTTGCTTTTGTTATTTTCTTTTGAAGTCTAAACTTTATTGTAGAGAATCTTAATGAATACAAAGAATTCTAATGAAGATAATTTTGCCACCCAGAGATAGTGACATAGAGATAACCATTGGTATGTTTCCTTCTGCTCTCAGAGTTAAGATTATGCTGTATTTTTCTCCTATGAATCTTTTCGCTCCTTTAAGATTATTTCACAAGCATTTCTAATATTAATAAATGTTGAGAATGTTCTTCTCATTGGCAATATACAATTCTATCATATGGAGCTACCATAATTTATTTAACCAATTTCCTTTTGTTTGGATACCAGGTAGTTTCTAAAGTTTTGTTTTATTTCTGTGAGGACTATTAAGTAGATAGAGTTCACTGCAACTCTCCAAAGCCAACCCCAAAGTTTTATGGATGACAAAACAGAGGCAAAAGAGTAGATGTATCTGGCCCAGAGTTCATACCTCTGGATAGCTAGAGAGCCTGAATTGTAACCTACACCACATGACTCCTAATTTAGTACCATTTTCACACCACCTTACACTGGCTCATTACTTTATTCTAGTACTTTGCTCTATTTGAAATAAATATACTGAATCCAAAATATGCAAGGTAAATGTGACCTACAAGTTAATACTTCAAGCTTAAACATGTTCTTTTTTCAGACCAACTTTAGGAAATAAGAAAGCTCATTTATATCCTTTACATTTTGCATATTGTGCTATCTTTTGTATTCATTAAAATATGAAGTTTGCCAATTTTATATTTCACATGTAGTTTACTTGTAGTCATCTATTTCACATTTTGTGAGTCAATTTATATTTAATTTTTGATAATAACATTACTTTTGTATGTTATTTCTCCATTACTTAGTATCCTAAAGATTAATATTAATTTTTAGAGAACAAGTTTGGAAATTCATGGTCACCCCAGAGTGTGGTTGTATAATCTCAGTTGTATCATTTAAAAGTTAAAAGCATATCACTGAACACAGTACATGGGCCAGGTGGTCTAATTTCTTAAAGGAGAAGAAATTTATTGCTCTATAGAATTGAAGGTCCTGGAAATAATACTGTTTGTGTTTATGTATACATATATCTCTCTAAGCTTTATACTAAGCAATTGGTTTCTTAGCTAACTTGGCAATGATTGGAGATATGAAAATATTTAATTTTTTTCAGCTAAAATGTTTTTAAAACACCCCGTAACTTTATAAGGTGGTTTTTGCTAGAAACTTTTTATTTAATGTGTCATCTAATCTACACATTCTCTTTGCTTCTTCTTAGATTGTATAGTTTTATCTGTTGGAGATGATGACAACAACGATGATGATGATGATGTTGAAGTTGTGGTAATACAAGACACTGGTACAGATCTTGCTGAGGACTCATTTTCTGATGATGAAGTATTGGTTCTACTAACAAATTCTGAAGATGGCAGCGATGTCCCTGAGGAGCCGCCTGAATTGTCATGTGGTAATTTTCTTAAATTTCCTCCTGTGTGAAATTTTGATCCCCAGTCCCCATTTCCAGTAAATTGCTTAAACATTCTTCTAACTCTTACCTTAATTCTTTATTATCAGAATGCCAAGCTTTGTGGTAATAGCACAGTGTTTACCTCTGCTTGCATTTTCCATTTATTTAAGCTCTGTCATGTCTCCTTTTCTGTTTTTGTTCTATAGGGAGTGGGGAGGTAGCCTTGGAAAGCACTAGGGAGAGCATATTTTGTCTCTGAAAAATTATTTATACCTGGCAACTAAAATTATAACTATTTGGTGGCAAAGCTAAAACTGAACTTTTGGGAGAAACAGCTTGGGTCAAGAGTCCATGGAATAGATGACATGATTTTCTATGTTGAAGATCTCGAAGAATCACCAAAAAAACTCCTCTAAGCAATTATAGCAAGCAATTATATAATTAATAAATAGCAGCTATAGCAAGATTCTCATGTTTTTTCCCCTCTTTATTCTATTAATGTGATGTGTTACATTGATTGGTTTTCTTATGTTAAACTAACCTTGCATTCCTAGGATAAATCCCTCTTGGTCATGGTGAATAATTCTTTTAATATGCTGTTGGATTAGACTTGCTAATATTTTGATGAGGATTTTTACATCTGTATTCATAAGGGATATTGGCCTGTTTTTCTTTTCTTATAATATCTTTATCTGACTTTGGTATCAGGGTAATTCTTAAATTTTTTGAAAGAGTTTGAGAAGGATTGGTGTGTTAATTTCTCCTTAAGTGTTTGGTAGAATCCAGCAGAGAGGTCCTCTGGTCCAGACCTTTTCTTTGCTGGGTTTGTGGTGATTGATTCAATCTTTTTACTTGTCATAGATCTGTTGAGTTTTTTTTCCTTGGGGCAGTTTAGATAATTTTTTAAATTATAAGGGCAGATTATTTTCTCACATACCAGCATCAAACAATTTAGAAGATATATAGGGAAAAACCCTCAACATATAATGGCTACAAATAAATATTTAAAATTGTAAGGAATTAAAAAATAGCAGAACCTATATGAAAGGAAAGCACATACTTTACTGAGGGTCATGAAAAAAGGCTTGAGTAAGTGGAGAGACACAAATTTTTCCTGGTTGAGAAAAAAATACACTAGTGTACCTTTAAAAAAACCTTGGGAAAACCTATTTAATGGACAGGTGGTAATTTATCATATCAAACACACAAAACATTTAAAAGTACAATTATTGAAATATTATGGTACTAGTTTTGAAGTAGGGAGCCAGATTTAATGCAATAGGGAGATCATAAACAGAATGAAGAATTTATAGTTATATATTACAATATATTAATATGAATAACATATTACATAGCAAATCATGCTGGTATGAATGGTTAACTATTAGAAATGGGGAAACCCACTTGATTTTGCCTCACATCACTCTTAAATAATGTCAAGATGAATTCAAGAGCTGAATATGCAGTAAATGGAAGTAAATGGAATATGCAGTAAATGGAAGACTAGATGAAACCATAGTTGAATGTTTTTTTCCAATCCTAGTGGAAGATTGAGTATAGAAGCAGTTCAAGAAAGCACAAAAATATTAATGGTCTCTTCATTTGTTTTCAGCACTTACGCTATAGCCTTTAGATTGTAAAGCATTTGCTTCACAATTTGGAACTGTGTTTGTTCTGGGTTCTTATTCCTACTTGTGGGCAATAAAGTCCTTCAGTTTTTAAAAGTTTATCCTAAATCACTAATAGAAGAATTCTCATTTTGTTGCTCTCTAAAATTCAGCCAGAACTCCAATTCAACCTGACTTGGCATTCTGAAAACATGTCCATCCATATTAAATTTATTAAAGCAGTATGTGTGTTAAGTAACTTTTTTATGCATTTGCTTTTCAGAAATGGAAGATTTTGCAGCATTAAATAGCCAAGTAGTTTCATGTCTGGCAAGTTTAAAAAGAGGTAACCCTGACTCAGAGGAAGTGGAATCTATGCCATTGTACAAAAGAGGGCGACCATCTATTCCAGAAGACAATTGCATGGTTTGTACAGTAAAGTAAAAATTTTTCTTTTTTTCATTCAGCTTTATTTCTTTTTAATAGATTGAGTTTAATTTCATACAGTGAAATGCACAGATCTTAAGTATAACTTGAGATCTTAAGTTCAGTGAGTTTCAACAAATATGTATGCCCCCCTCTATCAAGGTAAAGAATATTTACGTCATCCCAGAAAGTTCCCTCATAACTGTTCCCAGTAAATCTCCATCCCCTTGAACCTTGAAATACCATTCTAATGTTTTTTTCCATCATAGATTAGTTTTGCCTGTTCTAGAACTTTATAATAACTAGAATCACACAGTGTGCATTCTTTGATGCCATAGTCTCTTTTCCTTAGAGTAATGTTTTGAAATTCATCTGGCTGTAGCAATATTTCATTTCCATTTATTACTGAGTAATATTCCATTGTATGAATATCTGTGATTTGTTTATTCTTTCTCCTTTTGATGGACATTACGGTTGTTTCCAGTTTTTGGTTATTACGAGTAAAGTGGCTATGAGCATGATTATGGGAGTCTCTTTGTCAAATATGTTTGCATTTAATTTGGGTAAATCCTCAGGAGTGGAGATACTGGGTCACAGGGTAGATTAAAGTTTATAAGAAACTGACAAATGGTTTTTTGAAGTGGTTGTGCTATTTTACATTTTCATCATATTGTGCTATGCTTCTCAATCTCTGAAGTTGAATAAAATAGATTATTAAACTGTTTATAATTAAGTTTAACAGAAAATACAGTAATTTACTTACATAAGGATGAGAATAGTAATACCACCTAATTAGTGTAGTCAGTTCTTTTAACTTCTGTCAGCCCCAATGTTTTAATCTTTGGGGGATAGTGTTATTTGCCTTCCAAGAGCCATGGTTTTTGACATACTTATGTGGAAGTACTTTGAAAAGCATAAAGCATTGTAGAAGGGTAAGATGACAATATTGTTTTTATAATGACTAATCTATATATTATAATTCCATAAAATTTTTACTGCCTAATAAATTTGTAATGTGGGGCTAATTCAGATAATTTTAAAAACAAAGACACTGATAATTACTTGGTATAGTTCTATTAAAATTATCCTTATAGTCCATAATTTATCCTTAGAATAAAGAATTATTATAGTTAAATCAAATGGCTATTTGCTGTCTGTTTACTTATTTATACTGTGTTTTATTCCAAAAAGGGATTTAAGGTATCTTAGAGTAATTTTATTAAGAAAAACAGGTACTTAAGTGCTTCCTGCTTTGTCCACAGAGTGTCACTGTTGGATTATTTGAAAATTAAAAGTCATATAACATTTAGTTCTTTGTGGTTAGAAATATTTGTTTTGAAAGCAATTCTGGTGCCAGATTACTAGAAGACTAGTCTTTCCATCCTGAAGTACATAAGGGGTTAAGCTTAATGGAAAATGTTGTCTTAAGTATAGTTGACTTAATGAGAGAACAGTTCTGCAAATATTTTTCCATGTTATTGTAATGCTTGCAATGGGCAGAGGTCCTTTAGGCCTTTCATGCATGTTGAAGCAAAATTGAAGTCTTAAAGCTTTTCTTTCAATTCTTTCTTTTATATTTCCTTTTGGTTTATTAATTAATCCTCCCTATGTAGGAGCATGAACACCTGATTGTGCAGAAGGTGGAAGTGTCATTAATGAATTACATCAGACTGAATATTTTTGTAGTATTAATTGATAATTGCCAAATGTATTCACATTTACTGTCATAAAGAAAATGATTAAAATTATTTTCAGCTTTCATTTACTGTGGAGTTACTCTGAACTTGTGAGCCCAAGGAAATATTTCTCTTACATGAGTACTTTACCATTTTATTTTCCTCTTTTCCTTATCTAATAGAAGTACATAGCAGTTTTGTACCCTGCTTCAGTGATTTTTCTAATTTTTGAAATGGTTTTAGATTTATGGGGGATTCCCTGGTGGCTCAGATGGTTAAGTGTCTGCCTGCAATGCAGGAGACCTGGGTTCAATCCCTGAGTCAGGAAGATCCCCTGGAGAAAGAAATGGCAATCCACTCCAGTACTCTTGCCTGGAAAATTCCATGGACGGAGGAGCCTGGTAGGCTACAGTCCATGGGGTTGCAAAGAGTCGGACACGACTAAGTGACTTCACTTTCTTTCACTTAGGTTTATGGAAGAGTTATGAATATATTACAGAGAATTCTCATCTTTCACAAAATTTTCCTTAATGTTAACTGACCTGCATAACTTAAAGTTATGGTAATTGTTTAACCACAGTGTGATTTTCAAAACCAGGATATTAACATTGGTACCTTACAATTAGCTAAACTGCATCCTTGTTTGAATTTCACCATCCCCCCTCCTCCAGTCTTTTTTCTGTTCCAATCTAGTATTCCTCATTGACTTTAGTTGCGTCTTCCAGTTCGTGACAACTCCTTAGTCTTTCCTTGTCTTTTGTGACCTTGACAGTTTTGATGAATGTACTAATCATTTATTTTGTAAAATGTGTCTCTTGATTTTTGTATGTCTGATATTTTCTTTTGAATAGATTGAAATTATGCAATTTGGCAAGAACACCACATACACTGTGTTGTCTCCTCATGAATCATATCAGGAGTTTGAGATGTCCATATGTCTTTTTACTGGTGATGTTAACACTAATCATCTGGTGGTCTTCTGGATTTTTTCACTGTAAAATTGCTATTTTCCCTTTGTAATTAATAAATATTTTGTGAAGGAGTATACTTTGTGCTAATATCCTGTCCTCAACTATTTGCTCTGTGTTGAGTTAGCTCATGGATTTTACCATGGATTTTATCTGCAACATTTACTACTGTGGTGTTTGCCTATTGGTGACTTTCTGTTTCTCTTCTTTCTTTGTATTTATTAAGTGGAATTAATTTGTAAGGAATAACTATCCTTTCTCCCCCATTTATTTATTCAGTTATATATTTTATATCAATATGGACTGGTGGGCATTTATTGTATTATATACATTATAATCCAATTTTGTCACGATTTTATCAATCAAATTTTACAGCTTTGATGATATATTGAGAGCTCCTTCTGGCTCCTGTGACCTTTTGACATTCTCCCACTTCTTTTTTGAGCAGTTCCATATTTTCTGACATTACAAGGTATTCTAGCCTCATATATACTTTCCCTGTTCCAGCTCTGGAATTCATCTCTCTTTCAATTCACCTCTGGTTCCTTTTATTGGAGAGTGGTATTTAGAAACCAAGCTCTGTACGCTAGGTGTGTTCATTGCTACTCTTGTGTCACTGATCTTAGTCCCACTTAGTGGGCAGAGCTAGGAAATAAGTGTGTCTACTAATCCAGCATACACATACATTTATGACTATGTCTGTTTGTATGTTTATTATAAACTGTTCATATGAATATTCAGGAGCTTTTCTTAATCTTAGCTTCTTATATAATAACTTCCTTCTTTTAGCCCTCTTTTTGATTGGCTCTTATCTTTTTCATCCTCATGATTGTAGGGTTTGGTTTTACTTCGTCTATGCTTTATATTGTAGATTTCTGAAATCCTTTTGAGGTAAAAAAGAAAACAAGATAGAGAAGTATATATTTTTAGTGCTTTATTTGGTTCCTAGAGATATTAAATATTGACTTACTTATTTTTCTGATATTAATAGGAGAACAATGCACCTGAAGATTTATTTCATGGAAATCGTCAAAACCTACTTGCTGAACTCGAGCGCTATTGTCAGGTATCAAAGTTGTGTCTTAAATGTAGTTTTCCAAAACATTGATTATAATTTTCTTTACCTCATTTAATGTCATTGTACTCATTTTAATAATATTTTATTTATTTGACTGCTCTAGGTCTTAGTTGCAGCATGCAGGTTCTTCCATCTTCATTGTGGCCTGCAAGATCTTTTAGTTGCAGCATTGGTGTCATTGTACTAATAATAGAAATTTTGCTATGCCAAGTTCTCTATGATTATTCATTCCATTGTGATACTTTAAAAAATATCTACTTATAACAACATTCCTAAGTGAAAAACTTGAAATAAAAATATGGTTTTTGTTTTCTAAAAAAATATAGCCCATAACTGGTCAAATGTAGTTAAGTGTCTTTCAGTTGAAGCAATGGCAGCCCACCACTGTTTTTTTAATGAGTATATCTTACATAATTTTGAGGGAATTTTGTAAAAATTGACATATTGGTGGAGAGTGATAGAAGTATGTAACCATCAAGGATTTTGTGAGGTGCATACCCTAGCAATAATGAATATTTATAAAAAGTAAATGTTTCTTAACATATAAAATTTCTGTGATACAATGAACTAACATACTTTGAAAAGTTAGAAGTGTTTATGAGAGTCTTTATCATGCCTTTATCATGAGAACAATGGAACACTTAAAGGGGACTTGTGGTGTCTTCTGGGGAAGGATGTACAGAGAGCGGGAACGTAGGGGCCAAGTAGGGAACTCTGATTTTGAGCAGCAGCAGCCCAGCCTGCTTTACATCAGCATCCACGAGGTTGACGAATGGTTGACATGGCTCTGCCAGGACCTTCTTTTTTTTTTTCCCATTTATTTTTATTAGTTGGAGGCTAATTACTTTACGATATTGTAGTGGTTTTTGCCATACATGGACATGAATCAGCCATGGATTTACATGTATTCCCTATCCCGATCCCCCCTCCCACCTCCCTCCCCACCCCATCCCTCTGGGTCTTCCCAGTGCACCAGCCCCGAGCACTTGTCTCATGCATCCAACCTGGGCTGGTGATCTGTTTCACCCTTGATAATATACATGTTTCGATGCTGTTCTCCCAAAACATCCCACCCTCGCCTTCTCCCACAGAGTCCAAAAGTCTGTTCTGTACATCTGTGTCTTTTTTTCTGTTTTGCATATAGGGTTATCATTACCATCTTTCTAAATTCCATATATATGCGTTAGTACACTGTATTGGTCTTTATCTTTCTGGCTTACTTCACTCTGTATAATGGGCTCCAGTATCTCATTAGAACGGATTCAAATGAATTCTTTTTAATGGCTGAGTAATATTCCATGATGTATATGTACCACAGCTTCCTTATCCATTCGTCTGCTGATGGGCATCTAGTGCCAGGACCTTCTGAACGATTGTGCAAGATGTGGTGGGATGGAGCATCTCCCATAAGACACGCCCAGGTTTCAGAGTCACAGCCCTGCAGTGGGCCCTGGGGGATCCTCTCCATTTCTCCTCTTGTGCTGGCTCCCTCCTGTCTTCGGCACCTTCCCTTCCCAGTCTAGGCCACATGGGGCAGCACTTCCACCTGTTCTTTTTTATCCTTCCCAGCGTCACCTTTAGTAAAACCCCAGCCCTGTCCAGCCAGGCTGGGAAACAGGACCTCTGCTGGGGACTGGTGACCCTCAGACAGCCTCAATCCTTCTCGCTTATTTCATGGAGAAAATGGGGAAGCGTGGAGCAGAAATCCCCTCCAAGTCCCGATTCTTCTCACAGCCCACAAACCTGCCTTGTTCCACCTTTGCCAACCTCCTTCCTGACCGCTGGAGTGGGAAAAGGGTTCCCCCTGTAAGGCTAACACTAACACCTCCTCTGGTTTCTGCATCTGATCCTCTTTCCCTGTGTTCAGACACTTCCGTTCTTCCATCACCCCTCTCTCCTGGATCTTCAGCCTCTGTCTCTGTCACTCTCAGCATATTCATTCTCCCACTGTTATTTTTTAAACTCACTTCTTTTGGCCTCCTATCCCTCTCTAGCTGTCATCTTCTCTCTCTGCTTACCTTTATAACCCAGTTCTTTAAATGTCATTTATGTTATCTAAGCACCTGAATTCCTGTTTTTAGCTCTCTTTTAATCATAAAAGTAAAACATATGCACGCAGTTCAAAGAAAAGTTGAATAGAGAATGGCTTAAATGAAACATGGAAGTCTTTTCTTCTCCGCCTTTGGCCCTATTCCTTGGAGGTAACCACTTTTAATAGTCTATTTTAAATTCTTCTTGTAGTTTCTACCATTATACAAATAATACACCCTATTTCTTTTTGTGTTAACTTTTGGTGTTAACTGTTAACTTATCACTTTGAAAAATTAGGAATTTAGCTCTTTCATCTTCTCCACTCTGAAATTAGTTATACTGATATTTATAGTTTTTTGCTCTTTGTTAGTTTTTCTATTAAACTTATATTACCTATTCTGTCAGCTTTAGACAGCAGTCTTTTAACTGTAATCACACCCCATTGTATAAGAACTAGACATTCACATTCCATACACTATCCTCCATTTATCTTCTTTCTAATGCTCATTTCTCACATTCCTAACACTGACAAATATATAAATTCTGCTCTGTAAACTATTAATAAGCCTTCCATGTTTTAGATACAAATTATTTATAGAAATAAAAATTAATCAGTACATGCAGTGCTAGGATTTTATAAACATCATTTTTTATACAACCAAATGGTATCTTTGGCCTCATAGGGAAACATATATCTTTATTTTTAACTGAAGCATAATTGACATACAACATGATATTAATTTCAGGTGTACAGTGTAATGATTAAACATTTTTATACATTGCAAAATGATTACCACAATGTCTAGTTATCATCTGTCACCGTACAGAGTTACAAAATTTTTTTCTTATGATGACAACTTTTTAAGATTTGCTTTCTTATGTTACTTTCAAATTTGCAGTACAGAGTTATTGTCTGGAGTCGCCGTGCTGTACATTACATCTCCATGACTTATTTTATAACTGGAAGTTTGTATTCCTTGATCCACTCTTCCCATTTTGCCCACCCTGCAACAGCACTCCCTTCTGGCAGCCACCAACTGTTTTCTGTATCTGTGAGTTTTGTTTTGTTTATTAGGTTCTGCATGTAAGTGAAATCATGGTGTTTGTCTTTCTTTGACTTATTTCACTTAGCAATCCATGTTTTCACAAATGACAAGATTTCATTCTTTTTTATGCCTGAGTGCTTTTCCACTGTATGTATGTATACCACATCTTCTTTATTCATTTGTTCATTGATGGACGGTTAGGGTGCTTCTATATCTTGACTATTGTAAATAGTGCTTCAGTGAATGTAGAGGTACATGTATCTTTTCAAATTAGTTTTTCATTTTCTTTAGACAAATACCTAGAATTGGAATTGCTGGATCATATGGTATTTTTATTTTAAGTTTTCTGAGGAACCTCCATATTATTTTCCGTAGTGGCTGTGCCAATTTGCATTCCCACCAAAAGCACTGGAGGGTTGTCATTTCTCCACATTCTTGCCAACACTTGTTATTTCTTGTCCTTTTGATAATAGCCATTGTGACAGCTGTGAGATGATATCACGTTGTGGTTTGATTTGTGTTTTCCGTTTAGAAATGTTGAGCATCATTTTCATGTGCCTATTGGGCATCCGTATGTCTTCTTTGGAAAAATGTCTGTTCAAGTCCTCTGCCCATTTTTTAATTAGTTTGTTTGTTTTTTGTTGAGTTGTATGAGTTCTTTATATGTTTTAGTTATTAACCTCTTATCAGATACATGATTTGCAAATATCTTCTCCCCTTCAATAGGTTGCCTTTTTATTTTGTTGATGGTTTGCTTCACTGTGCAGAAGTTTTTTTTTTAGTTTGATATAGTTCCATTTGTTTATTTTTGCTTTTGTTGCTGTTGCCTTTGGAATCAGATTCAAAAAAGCTTTGCTAAGACTGATGTCAAGGTATTTTCCGCTTATGTTTTCTTATAGGAGTTTTATGATTTCTGGCCTTACATTCAAGTCTTTAATCCATTTTGAATTAATTAAGAAATATAATCTTATAAGTTGCTAAGTTGCTAATTCTCTACTAGTCAGGGTCCTAAGCGTCAAGGTCAATGGATTCTCTCCTGTCTTCCAACAGTGCTCAAAATCATGTCATATTCTAGTTGGATTTTATTTGAACAGTGACTTTTTATTTGTCTAAACATTTTCTTATATAGAAGATTATTTTTTTTGGAGTTTCTGCTGACTACTTTTGTTGAAAGGAGAAATATGCCTTTTTATTTCTTTGCTAGGATTTTTGAGCTTCAGAGTCATTTCCATGTTGAATGGAGTCTGCTTTCTTCTTAACGTAATTTTTCCCCCACAAATCCTTCCTGTTATAATTTGCACCAGTTACTTTAGAGGCACAACTGTCACCTCAGTACTTCTTTTGACTGCCTGCTGTTTCTTGGATCCCATGGCTTCTTCATCTTGGATTCCCCTCTTGCTTTCTTTATAATTTTCTCTGAGTAACTACTTTTTAAACATTTTTTTTTCACAGAAAGTTGCATAGAAGTTGAATTCCCAGTCTTCGTATATCTGAAATTTTCTTTGTGTCCCTTTGTCTCTTATGCCCCATATTTGTCCCACATGCTGAGTGTGCAATTCTAGATTCAAAATTACTTTCCCATAGAAATTCTATTCTAGTATCCAGTGCTCTTGAGAAGTCTGTTAGTATTATGATTTTTTTATAGGTGAAATTTTTTTCTCTGGCTTTGGAATCTTTTAAAATCTTTATTTTTTTCCCATGTATCCTTGGGCCCTTTCAGTTTGAAGATTTGTGCCATTCTTTAGCTCTGATAGAATTTTTCTTCATTTCTTCCTTTCCATATACTCTATTCCCTCTGGAGTAACTTTTATTTTATTAAAAAATTAATTAATTTGACTGCATCGATCTTAGTTGTAGCATGCAGGCCTAATTGTCACATGGTGTGTGGGATCTTAGTTCCCTGACCAGGGGTTGAATCCACGTCCCCTGAATCAGAAGGTAGATTCTTAACCACTGGACCACCAGTGAAGTCCCTGGAGTGACTTGTAATTGGATGTGACAACTCTTACATCATCCATGTTGCTTAATGTTCATCTAATTTTCTGTCTCTGACCTATGTACAGCATTCTGAGAGATATCCTTGTCTTTGTCTTCCTGATGTTGTGTTTGTATTTTTTGGGCACAATCAATTATATTTGTAATTGTCAGTAGTTTGTTATTTTCTGATTGCCACTGTTTTATAGCATTAATATTTTTGTTTTATTGTGTGATATCATCCTGAGTGTTTATGAGCATTTGGATTATTAAAAGTGTTGCTCTGTTTTTGAAATTACATCTTTCTCCTCTAAGTTCATTGTGCTGTCCACTGGTCCCCCTCTGCTCAGTCTAAATCTACCTGAATGATTCTCTCTTTATTAAAGGTTTTGCTTTGATACAATTCTGGTACCCAAATCTATGTCTTTAGCCTCTGCCACCTCTGCTCATGGCCCCAGAATCATGAATGTATCTAGCCAATGCCTGCTGAAGAACTCAGTATGATGTGTACAAAATCATTTTCTCCATATTCCCTCTCTCAGGTTAACTACCATCATGTCTCATTAAGCTGGAAATCCAGACATTATCTTTGACTAGTTCCTTCCCCTCTCCCCCATTAACTCAAGTCCTGAGGATTCTTTCCTTAATATCACTCAAAACAGTTTCATGTACATCCTAACCACCACATCTTTGATTCATATCCTCACCATTTTGCATTTTAATCTTTTCTAAAGATGAGTTTGCCTCATGTCTTTCCCATGCCTGAGTTTCTGTTGGGTGAAAATCTCAAAATGGCACTACTTGCCTCCCCAGCCTTCTTCCCCAATGCTTTTTCCTCTAAGTTTCACATTTTGTATTAAGCCATAGATAGTTCCTTAAATATATTATGCTAATTAATGTTCTGGTATTTTAGAATTTTCTGTTCTTTCTATTCTGTATGCCCTTCCATGCATCCTCACCAAGCGAATGGTTTCTCACCTTTTAATTCTCAACATAGACACTTCCTTCTCTGAAAAGCCTACCATGACTGCCAGCCTGAACTGGGTTCCATTTTTTTCTGTGCACACTTATTACTTGTGTCATGGCACTGGTAGTAATAATAATAATATATGAGCATTACTGGACTGGTTATTATGTACTATAATTATTATGTTAATATCAATATAAGACTCTGTTACCTCATTTTGTCCTCAGAATAACTTTGAGATTTTTATCCCCAATTCTACATATGAGAAGATTGAAGCACAGAGAAGTTAAGTGATTTGCCCAAGTTCACAGAGCTAATAAGTGGTAGAACTCTAGTATTTGAACCCAACCTTGTCCCCCTAGATCCTGTGCTATTTATCCCAGTGTGATAAGCCAGTGAGTCTCACACTTGATCATGCATTAGAATTACTTGGAGGGCTCTCTCCTAGCAATGAGTTCCTGTATTAGCAGGTCTGAGGTGGGGGATTTTGCATTTCTGACAAGCTGTGGGTGATACTGATGCTGCCAGTGCATGGACCACAGCTTGAAAACCACTGTTCTAGGCTGCTAATCAATTTATTTATTGAAATCGTCTATTTTTCTCTCTCCCCAGCTAAAATAGAAGTTCCTTAGGGCAGGAGGTGTGTGTGTGTGTGTTTGTTTGTTTTTAGTGTCCACATTCCCAGCATCTAGCAAAGTTGTTTGGACAGGTAGTAAGCCCTCAATAAGTGTTTACTTGAATTAGTGAATGAATGAGGTAGTGGTTCTGGCCTCTTTGTATAAGTGTATTTTTGCCTAAATTAAATTTCTGTGTATTTCAAGATTTTTCAGGTTTTATCAGTCACATACTGATTGGCATAGAGGGGCTGTGTACTCAAAGGTTTTGTAAGGTTGTTAATTGCATAACTTTAAAATACTTTGAAGCCAAACAGCTATTGTGTTTGGCTCACTATTCTTTCTGGAATGGGCTGCTCTCTGCCTGTTAGTTTATACTGACATTGTATGGAAAGAGGCTCTTTTGCCTTTTAGCAGATTTGAACATTTCTTTCCTAAAAAAAAGCACCTTCCTTGATGTAAAATTACTTCATCATAAATGTGATGGCTTGTAGGAATTGTGGTACATTTACTTTCCAATATTCAAGATTCTTCAAATGCTTGTATAATACGGAGTAGTTGAGTAGGAGGTTGGGGCGCTTTATCTCAGCCAGCTCAGCCCTGGATCACCAACAACCAGGCATCAAGTGGGAAACAAGAAATTTCTGATGGCTTGAGAACTTTCTTTGATTCTGGCAGTCAAAGTTTGGTTTATTGGTATTTTCTTATATGTTACTGTTTTTTCAAAATAAGAACACTAAATTTTTTATTGTAACAGAATTTGAATGAACTTACCGAAATCATCAGTAGTCAGATTAACCACCTTCGTGGAATAGTTTCAGAAATGCAGCGTTTTTTGGGGAGACCACAGACACTACCCTGTGTAAGTGTTATACGAATGTTTTTACTACTTCCATAAACCTATATTTTCTAACAATACCATTCAGAAGTGAGAGAGAGCTAATAACTCTGAGATTAGCAAGACTGATCTATACTTTAGCAGTAGGTTGGAAGCTAAACTTTTGTTGGGAGAATGCTAAAGTTTAGATTTGAGACATGATGCTGAATATTTTTGTTTGTAACCATAACGTATAAAGTGCAATCAAAATGTAGGTATGAAGAGGAATAAAAATCATATAATAAAAATTCAGCATTTATATTTGACTGTGGAAAATGATGTTGCAGGGAAAATAGGTATTAATGATTTTACCTACTTTTCACTGTTTATTTTTACTCATAGATGATTTATACTGGCTATGTGTCATTTTAGAGATCATCTGGATTTACATATAAAGGTTTTGACTGTATACCTCATGGAAAAATTAAGGTCTAGAATCCAAACAAAGGAGCTTAACCCATCCTGTTCTTTGATCCTGGACAGGGAGATGGTAACCCACCTTCACCAGCTGAGAGGCAGGAAAATGATGCTGAGACTAATCCAGGAGGGGCATCTCTTCAGTTAGCAGCATGCCCTGAACTGCAGCAGCTAACGCCCAGCGAGAGTCCATCACTTCCCAGGATTGTCTCTACGTACTCATTACAGTCAAGTCATGACTCAGACAGCCCATTTTCTAGGCTTACTCTTTCACCCATTTTCAGTGAAGGTGATGAACATATCAACAGTGATCTCTTATCTGTCCAGGATCCTCTAGCAGAACTTATAGCAGACCTTCCACAAGTGGAATCTAGTCTGCCTGACAACTTTGAGACAGTGAGATATTCAACTATAAATAACAGGATGAACCCAGACACTGCCTTGCCATCTCTCTGCATCGCTCCCAATTTTGGTGAGTTTGAAATGGCACACATTGTAAATAGCATCTTGGTAATCTAGATTCGAAAGTTTCCTTAATGCAAACTAGTGCTAGTGGTTTTTTGGTTCAATGGACATGAACTTGGGCAAACTCTGAGAGATGGTGAAGGACAGAGGCCCGGCGTGCTCCAGTCCATGGGTTCACAGTCCAAGAGTCAGACACGACTGGGTGACTAAAGAGCAACAACAAAAATACTGAGATAATTGTAGCTTCACATGTAGTTGTAAGAAATAATACAGAGTCATAGCCTTTACCCAATTTCCCAAAGTGGTAACATCTTGTGAAACTATGGTAAAATATCACAACCAGGATATTGATGTCGATATAATCCATGGGTCATAGTCAACTGTTCCCAGTTTGACTTGTATTCATCTGTGTGTCTGTACTTTTAGTTTTATTCTGATTTATCATGTGATAAGGTTTGTATATCCACCACCATAGTCAAGGGACAGAATAGTTCGATCACATGGATCACTTGTGTTGCCTTTTTATAACCATGCCCATCACCCTCTGATGACCTGGCCCTCTTCATTCCCTTATCCCTAATTCTTGGAAACCACTGATCTATTCTTCATCTCTAGAACTTTATAACTTCAAAATTTTTATGTATTTGGAGGCATATAGTATGTAACATTTGATACTGGCTTTTCTCACTCAATATAAGGCCCTGGAGATTAAGCCAGGTTGTTCAGTAGTTCCTTCCTTTTTATTGCTCAGTACTGCTACTTGGTGTGGATGTGTCATAGTTTAACCATTCATCTGTTTAAGAAAATTTGGAGTTTTATAATCCAGGTTTTCATGTTAAGACTAAGGTTGCTGTGAATCTTCATGTGCAGGTTTTTGCGTAAATAGAAGTTTTCATTTCTCTGACATGCATACCCAAGAGTGCAATTGCTCGCTATATGTTAACCACATGTTTAATTTTATGAGAAACTACCGGGCTTCCCTGGTGGCTCAGATGGTAAAGAATCTGCCTGCAATGCAGGAGACCAGGGTTTGATCCCTGGGTTGGGAAGATTCCCTGGAGAAGGGAATGGTAACCCACTCCAGTATTCTTGCCTGGAGAATCCCATGCACAGAGGGCCTGGCTGGCTACAGTCCATGGGTCGAAAAGAGTTAGACATGACTGAACGACTAACACACACACACACACAGAGTCATGATACAGAACATTTCCATCATTACCACAAACACCTTTCATATTGCCCTTTTCTTAACCACAACTACGTCCTTCTGGTCACCCTCTCCTCCCATCTGCCCCATCCTAACACCCCAGGCCAGCCCAGAATTGACTTTCTATGATTTTTTCATTTAAATATTGTTATTTAAATGGAATAAAGTACTATAGAACCTTTTGGGCGTGGCTTTTTTTTTTTTTTAACTGAACATAGGTGGCTCAAGTGGTAAAGAATCCACCTGCCAGTGCAGGAGACACAGGAGACATGGGTTTGATCCCTGAGGTGGAAAGATCCCCTGGAGGAGGAAATGGCAACCCACTCCAGTATTCTTGCCTGGGAAATCCCATGGACAGAGGAGCCTGGTGGGCTACAGTCCATGGGGTTGCAAAGAGTTGGACACGACTGAGCACATGCACAAACACATTGCTTGTATCAAGAGTTTCTTCCTTTTTATTGTTAAGTTGTATTCTATGGTATGGGTGTGTAACTATTTATTCACTCATTGAAGTACATTTGGGATATTTCCTATTTTTCGCTGTTACAAGTTTAGCTATATGAATAGTCCTTTGCCAGCTTTCGCATAAATATAAATCTATATTTCTTTGAGATGAATGCCCAAGAGGGCAATTCTGGGTCACATGTAATTCCATGTTTAGTTTTATAAGAAACTGCTAAAATTATTTTTCAGAGGAGCTGTATAATTTTTCCTTCTACCCATAATATATGTGTGATACAATTTTTCTTAATGCATATTTATTCTCTTTCCATTGTTCGTTCTTCTTGATGCTCAAAGATACAAGTTCTTTTAGTTTTCCTTCATATAAGAATATATTCATTTCCCATTTCTTAATGAGGCATAGTTTTACTGCATATAGAATTAATGATTGACAGTTATTTTCTTAAGCACTCAAAAAATGTTTTTACTCTTAACTATGCCAGAGGTAGCAGAAACCAGCCTGGAGAACAACCCCGAAACAATGAGTTACTCAACTTTATCAGGAAATGACAGTGGCCTGAGTTCATTATCTGTCAACCTCCCACCCAATTTTGGTGAGTTTCAAATAATACATAGTATAAGTAGCACTATGTAATCTAGATGCATCAGCATCCTTAATGCAAGTTAGCAGTAGCCCGTTTTTTAAAATTAAACTTTTTATTTTGGAATAATTTTAGATTCACATATCTTTATAAGGAATAATATAAAAGACCCCTTTTACACTTGACCCTTTTCTCTCAATGATAACATCTTGCAAAACTAGTAAAATATCACAACTCAGGTATTGACATTGAATAATACACAGATGTTACTGAGATGTCCCTAGTTTTACTTGTGGTAATTTGTATGTGTTTATATTTATTTCTGTCTGATTTCATCACATGAGTAGATGTGATATCCACCACCACGTCAAGACATAGAAACATTTCCATTACCATAAGGATGCCTCTTCTTGCCCCTTTATAGCCACTCCCACCTCTCTCAGGTAACCCTCTCCTTCCCCATTGTTCATTCCCTAGGCCCTGGCAAACACTGGTTTCTATAATTTTATCACTTCAAGAACATTATACAAAAGGAATTTTATGGTACATAAACTTTGAGGATTTTTCTCACCTGGCATAATTCCTTGAGGATTCATCCATGTTGTTGCATGTACAAAACTTCCTTTTTTTTTTTGCTGAATAGTTTTGTAGGATTTCAATATGCAGTAATTGTTTTTAACCACTCAGCCATGGGAAGACATTAGTTTTTTCCCCATGGTTTTTAGTCTTAAGAGTAATGATGTTATGAACATCCATGTACTGGTTTCTGTATAAATGTAAGTTCTAATTTTTCTGTCTTGAATTCCAAGCATGCAATTTTTGAGTCTTATGGTAATAGCATGTTTAATTTTGTTAGAAAATGCCAGTTTTCTGGAGAGGTGGTACCATTTTTCATTCTTACAAGCAATGATCCAGTTTCTTTACATTCATATTTCTGTTCTTATCATAGCTCTTTCTTTCTTCCTGATATTCCCGATTTCCTTCTTTCATCCTATCCTTTCTGTTTGAAGATACTCCTTTAACCTCTCCTTAAGTCTGCTAGGGACCAATTCTTTTAGTCTTCCTTTGTTTCAAAATGTTTTTGTTTCACCTTTTACTTGAAGGATAGTTTCATTTCATGTAGAATTCACAATTGAGAGTTCTTTCAGGGGCTGAAAAATTCATCCTTACACAAATGCCAATAAAAGAAGAAACTGGTGTGGAAAACAGCTCTCAGACAGTGTATTATCCAGCTTTATTGGGAAATATCATTGATCCAAGTACTGACTCTTCATCTCACTCTGTCCCACCTAATTTTGGTGAGTTTGAAATGATACATATTGTGAGTAGCACTGTTTAGTCTAGATCCATTCACATCCTTAATACAAGCCAGTTGTAGCTCTTAAAACTTTTTGGTATAATTTAAGATTCACATGCAGCTGTAAAAATAATGCACAGAGATCTTATTAATGCTTTACTTATTTTTCCAAATGACTACACCTTGAAAAATAATGGTACAGTGTCACAACCCATATACTGACATTGATACAACCCACAGACATTATTGAGGTGCCTCTAGTTTTACATGTATGTGTGTGTACACTTTCATGTGTGTATTTACTACTATGCAGTGAGTGAGTACACCACAGTCAAGGTAGAGATCATTACCATCACTCAAGGATCCCTTGTTACTGCTTTTATACAAACACAGCCAACCTTTCCTTCCTCCAAGGCCTATCGCTAACACCTGGCTACCATTGGTCTCTTCTCTGTTTCTATAATTTTGTCTCAGATTGTTATATAAGTGGAATAACGTACCATAACTTTGGGTTTGGCTTCTTTCACTCAGCCTAATTCCCTGAAGAGTCATCCAGTTTGTGGCATGAGTCAATAGTTTATTACTATTACTTCTATAGAATATTCCATGCTGTGGGTATACAACATTTTAACTCTTCACCTGTTGAAGGGCATCTGGATTTTTTTTTTCAGTTTTTGGCTATTAGGAGTAAAGCAGCTATACATATTCACATACATACCTTTGTGTAAATCTAAATTTTTATTCCCTAATAGTTCTCTCCTATTGATAAAGAGTTTTCCATGGTGTGTGTGTGTATACACACACATGTTTTTTTTTTTCTTAATTCATACATTGAAGGAAATTTGGTTTTTTTTTTCTGAGTTTTTGGATACTTCAAGTGCTGTGAACATTGATGCATTGATTTTTGTGTAAATATAAATTTCCATTTCTCTGTCATGAATGCCAAAAGTGCAGTTGCTGGGTCTTATAAGTAATAGCATGTTTAGTTTTATTAGAAACTGCCAAACAATTTTCCAGAGAGGCTGTACCATTTCACATTTCCAGCATCAAAGTGTGGTTGATCCATTTTCTCTCCATCAGTATCTCTGGTCTGTCCATTATTATTTCTTCCTTCATGATGCTCCAAGATTACTTATTTAATAATATCTTTTCTTTTTTGAAGATTTTCCTTTAGCCATTTTTAAGGGAAAATCTGCTAGGGAAAATTAAAAAATCTTTTTTCTTTTGTGTCATAATGTCTTTATTTACCGTTCTTTCCTGAAGGACAGTCTGACCCAGTATAGAGTTCACAGTTGAGAGTTCTTATCTTTCAGGATTTGAAAAAGTTGTACTTCTAGAAATGCCAGGACAAGCAGAAATCACCGTGGATAACAGCTATCAGATAGTGGGAAATGAAACTGTAATGGGAAATGAAACTGAAGTGGGAAATGACAGTAACCCAGATACTGGCTCTTCACCTCTCTCCATTCCACCCAGTGTTGGTGAGTTTGAAATGATACTTTGACATATATTTAATCTAGATTCACCACTTTCCATAGTGTAAGATAGAGGTAGCTCTTTCTAATTAAAGTTTTTATTTTCAGAAAAATGTAGCTGAACATGCAGTTATAATAAATAGTACAGAACAGTCCTGGGTTCTGATTACGCAGTGTTCCCCAATGGTAAAATGGTATCTACCATGGTAAAATGGTATCATCTTACAGAATGATAGAAAATTACCACAACCAAGATATGAACATGATACCATCCACAGGTATTATTGAGATGCCCTCAGTTTCACTTGCATTAATATGTGTGTATTGAGTTCTATACAGTTTTTTCATATGTACAGATCATGTATCTTCTACCACAGGTAAGCCTTGGAACAGTTGCATCACTACCATACTCTCTCATATTTCTCTTTTATAACCACACCCATCTCTCTCCAACTGACATTTGCCCTCTACTCCTGCCCTCCGCCCTGTTTCATGGTAATTATGAATCTGTTCTCCAGATCAATTATTTGTCCCTTCAGCCTTGTTATATAAATGGAATCATGTGGTGTTTGAGATTGGTTTCTTCCTTCAGTGTAATTCCCTGGAGATTCATTCATACTGTTGTGTGTAGCAGTGGTTCCTTCTTTTTTATTGCTGAGTATTATTTCATAGTGTGAATGTACCAAGGTTTATTTTTCTGTTCATCTGTTGAAAACCTCTGTGCTTCCGGTTTTTTACTGGTAAGGGTAATGTTGATATGAATATTTATTCATCAGTTCAGTTCAGTTCAGTCACTCAGTCGTGTCCAACTCTTTGCGACCCCATGAACCGCAGTATGCCAGGCCTCCCTGTCCATCACCAACTCCTGGAGTCCACCCAAACCCATGTCCATTGTGTTGGTGATGCCATCCAACCATCTCATCCTCTGTCGTCCCCGTCTCCTCCTGCCCTCAATCTTTCCCAGCATCAGGGTCTTTTCAAATGAGTCAGCTCTTTGCATCAGGTGGCCAAAGTATTGGAGTTTCAGCTTCAACATAAGTCCCTCCAATGAACACCCAGGACTGATCTCCTTTAGGATGGACTGGTTGGATATCCTTGCAGTCCAAGGGACTCTCAAGAGTCTTCTCCAACACCGCAGTTCAAAAGCATCAATTCTTCTGCACTCAGCTTTCTTTATAGTCTAACTCTCATATCCATACATGACTACTGGAAAAACCATAGCCTTGACTAGATGGACCTTTGTTGGCAAAGTAATGTCTTTGCTTTTTAATATGCTGTCTAGGTTGGTCATAACTTTCCTTCTAAGAAGCAAGCGTCTTTTAATTTCATGACTGCAGTCACCATCCACAGTGATTTTGGAGCCCAGAAAAATAAAGTCAACCACTGTTTCCACTGTTACCCCATCTATTTGCCATGAAGTGATGGGACCAGATGCCATGATCTTAGTTTTCTGAATGTTGAGCTTTAAGCCAACTTTTTCACTCTCTTTCACTTTCATCAAGAGGCTCTTTAGTTCTTCACTTTCTGCCATAAGGGTGGTGTCATCTGCATATCTGAGGTTATTGATATTTCTCCCGGCAATCTTGATTCCAGCTTGTGCTTCCTCCAGCCCAGCGTTTCTCATGATGTACTCTGCATATAAGTTAAATAAGCAGGGTGACAGTATACAGCCTTGATGTACTCCTTTTCCTATTTGGAACCAGTCAGTTGGTCCATGTCCAGTTCTAACTGTTTGCTTCCTCACCTATATACAGGTTTCTCAAGAAGTAGGTCAGGTGGTCTGGTATTCCCATCTCTTTCAGAATTTTCCAGTTTATTGTGATCTTTTAGATTTTTTCATTTCATTCATTTCACTCTTTCACAAAAGTTTTTACTTCTCTAGATGAATTCCCAAGAATGCAATTTCTGGAACCTGTAGTAACTGCATCATTAGTTTACAAGAAATTGTCAAACTGCTTTCCAGTGTAGCTGTACCATTTTTCATTCCTGCCAGCCATGTATGAGTGATCTGATTTCTCTGCATCCATATTTCTGTTCTTTACATTGTTCTTTCTCCTCCTTAATGCTTCAGAATTCTATTACATACTTTTTGTTAGAAGACTTTCCTATAGCCATTTTAAGCATAAGTCAGTTAGTGACAAATACTTTTGGTTTTCCTTTGTGTATATTTTTTCTTCATTACTGGAAGATAGTTTCATCAGATATAGGTATGAGGGTGGATTTCTCACAGCATTTGAACATTTTACTAACAGAAATGGTGGTCAAATCAGAAACCAGCCTGGAAAGTGACACTCCAGTGATGAATCAGTCACCTTTCTTGGAATATGACAGAGATGAAGATGCTTCATATGTCTTCATCCCTTCTGATGTTGGTGAGTTTGTAATGATACATATTATAAGTAGCATTATTTAATTTAGGTTTATTAACACCCTTAATATGAGCTTTTCCTAATTACCAATTAAGTTTTTTTTAAAGAAAATTTTAGCTGCACATGCCATTATAAAAAATAATAGAGAGATTTTGTGTATACTTTACCAAGTTTCCCACAAAGATAACATCTTGCAAAATTATAATACAATATCAGAACCAGGATATAGACATTGATAAAATCCACAGATTTTACTGAGCTGTCTTTAGTTTTATCTATATTTGTGTGTGTTTATGTTTGTGTGTGTGATTTAGTATTATATCGTTTTGCAACCTGAATACCTTTCCATGTCCTCCATCACAGTCAAAATTCAGAACATTCCCATTACCACAAGGATTCTCCGTTTTGCCCCGGAAAACCACACCTGCCTTTCTTCTCTCATGCTCCTGTACCTGCCCTCAGCAACTACTAATCTGTTTTCATTCTTTATAATTTTGTCATTTCAAGAGTTTTATATAGACTTACATAATATGTAACCTTTTGGGATTGCCTTTTTTCATTCACCATAATTCCCTGGAGATTTATCTAAGTTGCTGTGTAGATCAATACATTTTTATTGTTGAGTACTCCATGGTATGCGTGTACCATCATTTATCTGTTCCAGTTGAAGGATGTCTGAGTTGTTACCAGTTTTTGGCTATTTGGAGTAGAGCTACTGTGAATGCTCGTGTATAGGTTTCTGTATGAACATCAGTTTTCACTTCTCTGGGCTAACACCCACGAGCGCAGTTGCAGGGTCCTATGGTAATTGTAAGCTGAGTTTTGTAAAATATTGCCAAACTGTTTTCCAGTGTAGCTGTACCATTTTATAGTCCCACTAGCAATGTATGAGTGATGTAGTTTCTTCACATGTGTATTTCTACTCTTTCTTTTTTATTATTAATATTTTTTTAAAGTTTTTTATTAAAAAAAATTTTGGGGGGTGCTGCACCACATGGCATGTGGGATGTTAGTTTCCCGACCAGGGATCAAAGTCATGGCTTCTGCAGTGTAGGCACTGAGTCTTAACCACTGGACCACCAGGGAAGTCCCTTTGTTCTTTCTGTTTTTTCTTCCTTCCTCATGCTCCAAAGTTCCTTTCTTCATCATATCCTTTTGGTCAGATGATTTTCCTTTAGCCATTTTTAAGGGTAAGTCAGTCGTGACATTTTTTTAGTTTTCTTTTGTCTAGGGATGTCTTTATTTTTCCTTCATTCCTGAATGATAGTTTTGTCTGAAATAAAAATTACTGTTGAGATTTCAGTACTTGACAGTGTTTTCCTTATCAAAATGTTGTTCAAACAGGATCCGGCATAGAAATGAGTTCTGAAGCAGAGAATCATGCAAGTGTAATAAAAAATGACAGTGACCAACAAATTGATTCAGAATCTTTCTTCCTAACTTCTGGATTTGGTGAGTTTGAAGTGACACCTATTATGAGTAGCACTCTTAATTTAAACCCATCAGCATTGTTAATGTTAATTCTTAGTGATTGCTTTTTCAACATTAGACTTTTCATTTTGAGATATTTCAGAATCACATGTAGTTGCAAGAAGTAATACAGAGAGATCTTATGTACCCTTTACCCAGTATCTCCCAATAGTAGTATTTTGCAAAAACATAGTAAAATATGACAACTAAGATTTTGACATTGATATGATCCACAGCTCTTTTCAGATGTACTCAGCTTTACTTGTATTCATGGGTGTGTGTGTGTGTGTGTGTTTAGTTCTCTGCACTTTTGTAAAGTATTAAGGTTTGGATATTCACCACTACCAGTCATGATACAGAATTCTTCTGTAACTCTCAAGAACCATCTTTTGCCTTTTTATAAACACATCCACACCTTTCTTGTCATTCCTTACCTGGCTTCATCTGCAACCTATCCCAGTATTAATGTGTTCTCTCTCTCTTTTTTTAACTTTTATTTTTTTTTTCATTTATTTTTATTATTTGGAGGCTAATTGCTTTACAGTGTTGTAGTGGTTTTGCCATACATTGACATGAATCAGCCATGGATCTACATGTGTTCCCCATCCCGATCCCCCCTCCCGCCTCCCTCCCCTTCCCATCCCTCTGGGTCTTCCCAGTGCACCAGCCCTGAGCACCCATCTCATGCATCCAACCTGGGCTGGTGATCTGATTCACCCTTGATAGTATATTTGTTTCAATGCTATTGTCTCAGAACATCCCACCCTCGCCTTCTCCCACAGAGTCCAAAATTCTGTTCTGTACATCTGTGTCTCTTTTTCTGTTTTGCATATAGGGTTATCGTTACCATCTTTTTAAAATTCCATACATATGCGTTAGTATACTGTATTGATCTTTATCTTTCTGGCTTACTTCACTCTGTATAATAGGCTCCAGTTTCATCCATCTCATTAGAACTGATTCAAATGAATTCTTTTTAATGGCTGAGTAATGTTCCATTGTGTATATGTACCATAGCTTCCTTATCCATTTGTCTGCTGATGGCCATCTAGGTTGCTTCCATGTCCTGGCTATTATAAACAGTGCTGCGAGGAACATTGGGGTGCACATGTCTCTTTCAGATCTTGTTTCCTCGGTGTGTATGCCCAGGAGTGGGATTGCTGGGTCATATGGCAGTTCTATTTCCAGTTTTTTAAGGAATCTCCACACTGTTCTCCATAGTGGCTGTACTAGTTTTCATTCCCACCAACAGTGTAAGAGGGTTCCCTTTTCTCCACACCCTCTCCAGCATTTATTGCTTGTAGACTTTTGGATAGCAGCCATCCTGACTGGTGTGTAATGGTACCTCATTGTGCTTTTGATTTGCATTTCTCTGATAATGAGTGATGTTGAGCATCTTTTCATGTGTTTTTTAGCCATCTGTATGTCTTCTTTGGAGAAATGTCTGTTTAGTTCTTTGGCCCATTTTTTGATTGGGTCATTTATTTTTCTGCAATTGAGCTGCAGGAGTTGCTTGTATCTCTCTGTATAATTTTGTCATCACAAGACAATGTTCTATGAGTCTATCAACTTATAGTATTTAATATTTCAGTTCAGTTGAGTTCAGTCCCTCAGTCGTGTCTGACTCTTTGCGACCGCATGAACTGAAGCACGCCAGGCCTCCCTGTCCATCACCAACTCCCGGAGTTTACCCAAACTCCTGTCCATTGAGTAGGTGATGCCATCTAACCATCTCATCCTCTGTCGTCCCCTTCTCTTCCTGCCTTCAATCTTTCCCAGCATCAGGGTCTTTTCAAATGAGTCAGCTCTTCGCATCAGGTGGCCAAAGTATTGGAGTTTCAGCTTCAACATTAGTCCTTCCAATGAATACCCAGGACTGATTTCCTTTAGGATGGACTGGTTGGATCTCCTTGCAGTCCAAGGGACTCTCAGGAGTCTTCTCCAACACCACAGTTCAAAAGCATTAATTCTTCGGCGCTCAGCTTTCTTTATAGTCCAACTTCAGATCCACACATGACTACTGGAAAAACCATAGCCTTGACTAGATGGACCTTTGTTGGCAAAGTAATGTCTCTGCTTTTTAATATGCTGTCTATGTTGGTCATAACTTTCCTTCCAAGGAGTGAGCGTCTTTTAATTTCATGGCTGCACTCACCATCTGCAGTGATTTTGGAGCCCAGAAAAATAAAGTCAGCCACTGACTGTGGTGATCTCTGTTTCCACTGTTTCCCCATCTATTTGCCATGAAATGATGGGACCGGATGCCATGATCTTAGTTTTCTGAATGTTGAGCTTTAAGCCAACTTTTTCACTCTCCTCTTTCACTTTAATCAAGAGGCTCTTTAGTTCCTCTTCACTTTCTGCCATAAGGGTGGTGTCATCTGCATATCTGAGGTTATTGATATTTCTCCTGGCCCTGTTGATTCCAGCTTGTGCTTCCTCCAGCCTAGCGTTTTCTCATGATGTATTCTGCATATAAGTTAAATCAGCAGGGTGACAATATACAGCCATGACGTACTCCTTTTCCTATTTGGAACCAGTCTGTTGTTCCATGTCCAGTTCTAACTGTTGCTTCCTGACCTGCATATAGGTTTCTCAAGAGGCAGGTCAGGTGGTCTGATATTCCCATCTCTTTCAGAATTTTCCACAGTTTATTGTGATCCATACAGTCAAAGACTCCCTTGAGATCCATCCAAGTTGCTGCATGTATTAGTAGTTCCTTCCTTTTTTGTTGCTGATGGGTATACCATGATTTGTTTATCTGTTTACCTACTGAAGGATATCTGGGTTGTTTCCAGTTTTTAAATATTAAGAGTACAGTTGCTGTAAACATTCTTGTGTAGATTTTTGTCTGCACATAGTTTTCATTTCCCTATGGTAAATGCTCAAGAGCACAGTTGCTGGGTAGTATGATAATTGCATGTTAAGTTTTATAAGAAACTGGCAAACTATTTTCAGAATGACTGATTTTATAGTCCTACCAGCAATGTATAAGTAATTCATTCTCTCTGCATCCTCACTGGCATTTGGTATTTTCACTATTTTTAAAAATTTTATCCATTCTGATAGGTATGCAGTAATACTTTGTTGTGGGTTTAATATGCATTTACCTTGGATAATGATGTGCAGCATCTTCACATGTGCTAATTTTCCACCTGTATGTTCTTTCTCTGAAATGTCTGTTCTATCTTATAATTTTTTTCTGTTTTTTACTGTTATGTTTTGGGAGTTTTTTAGATATTTGAGATACTAGTCTTTTGTTGTTTATGTGGTTTGCAAATATTTTCCTATCTGCAGCTTTCCTTGTCATACTTTCTACAGGTGTTTTTGTTTTGTTTTGCAGGGAGAAAATTTTTAATTTTTTGAGGTTCAATTTATACTTTCTTTTTATGGATTTTATACTTTTAGTATAGAGTCTTATGAACTCTTTGTTTAGTCTTTGATCCCAAATTTTTTCTCCTATGTTTTTTTCTAAAGGTTTTATACTTTACAATTCACATTTGGGTTAATTTTGTATAAGGTGTGAGATGTAGGTTGAGGTTCTTCTTTTTTTTTTTTTTTTTCCTATGCCTATCCAGTTGCTGCAGCACAATCTTTCCTCCATTGAATTGCTTTTATACAGTAATAAAAAACCATTAGATCTATTTCTGGGTTCTCTATTGTTTTCCACTGATCTATGTTTCTACCCCTCTGCCAAATCACAACCTTGTGATTGTTGTTGTTATACAGTACACGTTGTCATCAGGTACAATGATTCCTCCTATTTTATTCTTCTTTTTCAACAATCATTTAAAATATTCTAGGTCCTGTGCCTTTCCATCCTCATTTTAGAGTAAGCTTGTTTATGTTTCCCCCCAAAATTGCTGGGATTTTGATGGGAGTTGTGTTAAACCCACAGATCAACCTAGGCTTGTAGATTCCTTTTTTGGGGGAGCTTTTTAATTGCAAATCTAATTTCCTTGATGGTTATAGGACTATTTAGATTGTCTCTGTAATCTTGGTTAAGTTTTACTATTTGTAATTTTGGGAGAATTGATACAGTTCTTCTAAGTTATCAAATTTGTGAGGGTAAACTGAATTGTAGTATTCCCTATTATCTTTTTTATGGCTGCTAAATGTGTTGTGATATCCCATTGCATTCCTGATATTGACGATTTGTATCACCTCTTTTATTTTTGTGAGTCTTTCTAGAGGTTTATTAGCTTTATTAATCTTTTTTGAGGTACCAGCTGTTTGCTTCTTTTCCTATTTTTCATATTTTCAGTTTCATTGATTTCTGCTTTTTATTACTTCATTAGTTTTTGTATATTTTGGGTTTCTTTTACTCTTCACTTTTGGTGCAGGAACTTTGATTATAGATTTGGGACTTTTCCCTCTCTTCTAATGTAAGCATTTAGTCCTGTAAATTTCATTTTCAGTATTACTTTAGTTGCATCCCATATATTTTGATGTGTTGTATTTTTATTAAGTCCTATACCTTTTATCATGTCCATGGAAATGTTCTCTTTATATATTAATTAGAAATATGCTGTTTAATTTCTAAGTGCTTAAAGATTTTCTTCTTTCTATTATTGGTGTCTAATTTGATTCCATTATGGTCAGACAATATGCCATATATTATTTCATTTCTTTTCAATTTGTTGAGATTTTTCTCTGGCTCAGAATGTGGTCTGTCTTGGCGAATGATGCACAGACATTTGACAAAAATATGTATTCTGCTTTTATTGGATGGAGTGAGTGATAGTCACTCAGTCATGTCCGACTCTTTGCGACCCCAGGGACTGTAGCCTGCCAGGCTCCTTTGTCCATGGAATTCTCCAGGCAAGAATACTAGAGGGGGTTGCCATTTCCTTCTCTAAAATGAGAATCCTGTTGGTTGATTGTACTGTTTGGGTCTTCTGTATCTTTGCTGCTTTTTCTGGTTGTTCCACCAGTTGCTGAGAGGAGGGTGTTGAGGTCCTCAAATATAACTGTAGATCTGATTATTTCTCCTTTCAACTCTTTCACTTTTTGTTTCATGTATTTTGAGATTCTGTTGTTTGGTATATTAAAGGTTGTTATGTCTTCCTGGGGGGTTGAGCCTTTCATCCTTTTTGTCTCTAGTAACTTTGTTTGCTCTGAAGTCTATTTTTTAAAAAGACTTATTTATTTTTGGCTCTACTGGGTCTTCATTGCTGTGCCTGGGTTTTCTCTAGTTTCCGTGTGTGGGCTTTTCATTGCAGTGGCTTCTCTTATTGTGGAACACGGACTCCAGGCGGGCTGGCTTCAGTAGTTGAACCGTGTCCCCTGGATTGGCAGGTGGATTCTTAACCTCTAGATCACCAGGGAAGCCTGTAAAGTCTATTTTATCTGATATCCACATACCTACTCTTTTTTTATTGTTAGTATTTGCACGGTATATATTTTTCTATCATTTTACTTTCAGTTTATTGATGTCATTGAACTTATAGATTTTCTTGTAAACGGCGTATATTTGGGTCTTGTTTTTATTCACTTTATCAGTTGCTGCCATTTAATTGATATGGTTAAGTCATTTACATTTAAAGTAATTATTGATATCAGGGTTTTAAGTCTGCCATTTTAAAATTGTTTCTTTGTTTCCTGATTTTATTTCTTGCATTTCTGTGGGCTACCTGAACATTTTCTAGTATTTCATCTTGATTTATTTGTTTTTGAGTGTATTGCTTTGTATAGTTTTCCTTCTGGTCACTCTGGGTGTTATATGTATGTGGCATATATGTATGTGGCTTGTCACAGTCTACTGGTATCAACACTTTACTCCTTAGAATGATGTGTTGAAACTTTAACTCTAGTTTCCTTTGCCCTTCTCAATTTTAACTATCATTGCCTTAGGTGTCAAATGGTATTCTTATTTCAGTCATGACATATGAATTATAAAACTCATGATAGTATTGTATTTGCCCATATTTCTGCTCTTTATGTTCTTTATTCCTTTTTATTATTGAATAATATTCTGATATTGAATTTACCAGAGTTTGTTTAACCATTCACCTGTTGAAAGACATCTGGGTTATTTACAGTTTTTGGCTATTATGAATAAAGATGTTAAGAACACTCACATGCAGATTTTGTGTCATCATGAGCTTCTATTTCTCGTGATTTTTAAATGCCCCATAAATTGCTGTGTCATGTAGTAATTACAGGTTTAGTTTTATAAGAAACTTCCAGACTGTTTTCCAGTTTGTTCCATTTTACATCTCTCCCAGCAAAGTATGAATGATTGAATTTCTCTGCATGCACTTTCCTGCTCTTTTTATTGTTCTTTCTTCCTTCCTGATGCTCCAAGATTCCTTCTGTCATCATAATCTTTCTGTTTCAAGATCTTCCTTTTGCCATTATTTAAGAGTAGGTCTGCTAGTGACAAACATTTTAAATTTTCTTTTGTCTGAGAATGTTTATTTCCCCTTCATACCCGAAGGGTAATTTCCTCTACACAGAATTTGCAATTGAGACTTCTTTTCTTTTAGCACTTCTACCTGTAAAAGTATTGGTGAAACAAGAAAACAACACAGAAAACAGACCTGAAACAATGAATCACCCAATTGTATTGGGAAATGACAGTAGCGAAGCTTCTTCCTTATCACCTGTCCTCATGCCTTCCAATTTTGGTGAGTGTGCAATGACACTATTTAACCTATATTCTTCAGCTTACTTGATACAACTTTTTTTTTCTATTCTGAGGACAGGTTTTAGATGATATTAGTAATAAGGAATAATATTTATTGAGTATGTGTTATGTGCAAGACACTGTCCTGATCAACTGACATGCCTCTTCTCTATTAATATTCATAATGACTTCATGATGTAGCTACTTGTATTACCTACATTCCCAAAGTCACAGAGCTGGTGAGTGGCAGTTCTGGAACTCTAACCCAGTTCTCTCTGACTTTAAAAGTTCATGTTTCTTAACAACTCTTGTGTTGCCTATCAAGCCACAGTGGCAGAGATGACACCCCAGGTTCCGTGGCCTCTGAGGTCAAGTCTTCCTAATACTTAATAGTTACATGTCCGTACTTCTAAGTAGGTAATCTGTTATTAATATCCATGGGCAGGGCTCAACATACTTTTTCTGTAAAGGGCTAGATAATAACTATTTTAGGCTTTGTGGGCCATCTAGTATCTGTCACACCTACTCAGCTCTGCTGCTGTCATATGAAAGCAGTCACAGGTGTAGGTAAGTGAATTGGATTGGCTGTGTGCCAATCCAACCTTATTTACCAAAACTGGTGGTGGTGGGATTGGCCTGTGGACTGTGGTTTGGTGACTATCATCCCAGAGGAGACCCTTTTTCTTTAAATTATTTTATTACCCAAACTAGAAAAAACTTTAAAAATTGTGTTCTTTGTATAAAGTAGGCACTGTGATATGCTGTTGTTAGAAATATAAATTGGTGAAAACTTTCTGAAGGGTAATTTGTTTAAAAATCTGTGAAAGTATTTATTTTACTTGGCTCAGTAATCCTACTTCTATCCAAAGGTATAATAAAAAAGATTTGTGTTAAAATTTTGGTACAAGAATTAATTTTTATAGACTCATGAGAAATTGTAAACAGTTCAATAAGCAACCATAGAGAATTAGTTACGTGACTCCTGGTATACCACGATATATGAGGCAGTAAGCATAATGGTTAAAAGTATGGACTACTGAGTCGGACTGCCTATGTTCAAATCCTGGCTTTGTGTCTTACTAACTATATGACCTAATATTCTCTGACCTAAATATTAGTTTCTTTATCTGTGAAGTGACAAAAATTATAGTGCCTACTTTATAGAATTATGAGGATCAAATGGGATAATTAATTTAAAGCTCTTAACACAATGCCCAGAACATAAGTGCAACGTAAATGTCACTTGTCAGGAAAATCATGATGATAGGAATACAGACTTGGAAAGAAAAAAAAAAAAGGAGAAATATGCAAAGTATAATGATAACTGAAAAAAAAAGCAGGATCCAAGCTTACATATAAGGTATAGTTTCAGTTTTGTGTTGAGAAAAAAGAATAGAAAACATTAGGTTTGAGGCACTTGGCATAAAACCAGACAGACTTAGCTTATTAAACTAGCTCTATAACCAGCAGTGTGATCTTGTTCAAATAACTTACCTTTGTTGGGCCTCAGTTTCTTCATCTGTTAAGTGAGAATAGGTCGTTAGGATGATGAAACTGAGCTTATAGATGTAAAATATTTAGCACAGTGCTTGATATATAGTAGATACTCTATAAATGTTATTTAAAAAATTTTCAAATTATATCCATTCAAACTTTCTAAATTGTATTCAGGGACCACATACTCACTCAGTAATATACCTCTGAGTGCACTTTTAGAATTTAGACAGGAGCAATGGGATCTCAGAGCAATGTGATTATATATGCACCTGTGGCCTAAGAATTAAATTTATTCAAGAGAATGAACTGATTAGTTCAAGTACAGCAAATTCAAGATTAACAAAGGTGATACATGCTAACAGTTATGCAGATGGCATCAAATAGACTCATTTAAGAAAAAGATGAAATAAGTATAGAAAAAAATTCACCCAAGTAGAAAATTTGTGAATTAAAAATCAATTAGTTTAATGTTCTTAGACACTTTATTGGTAACCTTGCATGAAAAAAACAAGGATTTTAATTTTCCCCTATATTTTTAAAGGATATCTTGGTGATCCAAGACGAAATATCAGAATGCTTGATACTCATTTGATGGCTGTACAAAAGAAGGCCATACCTAGGCACGCAGCCTGCTACTTGGTTCATTCTTTGTTCTCCAAGGAAATCCTGATTTCCAGCTCAGTAGGTATCAGTTCCCAAGGCTGCCAATCCCTGGATCCAAACAAAATGGCTGCAATAAGAGGTATGTAGGGAATTCCTTGGTGGTCCAGTGCCTAAGACTCTGTGCTTCCACTGAAGGAGGTGTGGGCTTGATCCCTGGTCAGGGAACTAAGATCCCACATGTCACACGGCATGGGAAAAAAAAAGAGGTATGTAAAGTCATTATAGAATCTTTGCTCATTTAGTTATCTGATGAGTGTTATTGATAGTTGAAGAAATAATGATGAAGTCTGTGTAAATCTTAGAACTGTTCACTTTTTCACCTTGTCTAACCTAGATTTTTACAATTTAGTAGTGTATAATGGGTAGCAACTTCTAAAGAATAAAATGTGTTCATAGACTGATCAAATAAGATAAACTTTGTTGGTTATAGTTGGCTTATGGTCAATTCTTCAGTGCTGAAACTTGGCACTAAAAAATAAAGAAAAAGCCAAAATAAGAAGAAGTGGGAAAATAAAGCACGTTTCATTGCTAGGAACTGACAACACAGAAATAGCATCTCATGATTAATCCACTCTGGCCTCTTGCTTCTTGTCTTCCAATAATATATATGGAGGTCCTGGAAGTCATAGGCCCTAAGAATACAACAGTGAATAAGGAGTTCTGACCACAGGAGTTCACAGTCTAGAAAGGGACACATTGGGGAAACAGATCAATTCCATTCCAGTGTGGTAATATAGAAACTCAGAGAGCAGAGCACCTACTTTGAGGGTATTAGGGAGGACTTCCTAAGCCAAGACATTTGAGCTGGATTTAGAAAGATTGCTTAGCTACATAAAGAAAACAGGAAGAGTATTCTAGGCAGAGAGAGTAGCTTGTGGGAAAGATAGACATGTAATATACACAAGTAACTGAATCATGATGTGATCATGTTTGTAATAATACTGTTTTCTCCTTACAGGTTTCCTTCTGTTGTTAGATCTAATTTATCCATAGGGTTATTAAAGGGTATTAGCACCTGAAATAATTGACTTTTTGTAGCACATTTTTTTCCCCTGAAGCACTAAAACCTCATCATGGGCTCCTTAGGTCAGTGTTTTAGGGGATTGCACTTTAGAAGAAATGAGATATTCAGCTAAGCGTCCTCTTTGAGTAGAATTCCTAAACTGTTACTTAGAGAAAAGAATGACAATGAAAAAGAGAAAATTTCAGTATTTTAAATACAAATTTTTTTGTCAGTTTCTTTGTTATTTCCCCCTTAATTTTTGTGAATTCTTGGTGCTATTTGCAGAACATCTGGCAGCAGTTTTTCCCAACTATGATTTGAGTGAACATGGAGAAGAGTGGCAAGCCTGTATTTCCGATATCAATTCTCTGATCCACAATTTACGTTCGAGAACACCTGTAAGTGATTTTTTTATCTAAATATGGTCACTGCCATATAAGTACATACTGCATACAATTCCAGAACTGATGGTATGACATACAAGATCTTCAGTCCATGTGCTCAAATTCTTGTTTATTTAATTTAGAGGCAAGGTGTGTTCTCTTGCATCCTGCCTATTCACTTCACTCTTTGATATTTTGTGCCCCATAAAAATATCCTAAAGATAAAATAAATAACAGTGTTATTGTTAGTATATTTCAAGCCAAGGGTTACACCAGAAAAAGATTTCAACTACAAAGATATTTGGCAAGTCTTTTTCAGGATCCCACTGAGTAATACATAAAAGAGCAGACTGTGGTGCTACTTAGCTGTTCTAATGGTAGTTAGGAATGGCACAGACGAAAAGGAAGGTATTTCATTACTTGTTCACTTTCAGTGATGGCAGAAACTGGTGAAAATGATGCATATCATGAGGTTAAGTTTTCACAGATATTTTATAATCTGTATAGTTACATGGTAAGTGGGAATCTGACTTCTCTCTCACCCATCCTATCTTCAGAGTGCATTGGAGTTTTTTTTTTTTTAAACACAAACAGGTAAGTAGGGAAGAGAGTCGTGTCTATTGCCTTCTGATGAAGCATTTAACATAATGACAATTCCTAACTTCCACCCACCTCTCTAAAGCCTCCATTTTATTCTCACCATATCTAGGCACTCCTGTGTCTCTAGAGTAAGTTGATGGAAACTGTTTGCCAAGAATATTTGTAGCTGAGCTTATGTTTTCTTGGTGAATGGCTTGATTTCAGTGATAACTCAAGCACCATCTGTATGAAACCAAATCTGCTTATTTTTCACATTCCCTTTTATATCCTACAAAAATTACACCTTAAACATTTGAGTGTAAAATTATGATACTGCCTGGAAATGGTAATTTGAATATTGCTTAGGCATCAGAAGAGAAGCAGCATCTGCCAGTGCCTGCTGTGTCCTTGATTAGAAGGATAGGTCCTTACTACTCACAGTGGGTCCACGGACCAGCAGCAGCAGCACTGGAAAGCTTGTGAGAAATGCAGTCTTGAGTTTCATACCAGGCTAACTGAGGCAGAATTTGCATTTTAGCCAGACCCCCAGGTGATTTTTGTGCACATTGAAGTTCGAGAAGCCCTAACCTAGAGCAGTGGTCAAACTCTAGGTATATGTTAAAGACATGTGAGGCACTTTTTAAAAAAAAAGTTAGTAATGCTGGAGCTCTCTCACTCCCTTCACCAGAGATTCTGGTTGAATTTGCCGTGAGTGGGGCCCCAGCACTGCTTTAAGAAAACACAAGATCTCTAGGGTAATTCAAATGCTCAAATGTACAGCCAGATTAGAAGACCGCTGGGGAAAGAGAAAAAAAAATTAAGAAAAAACAACCTCACAGTTGTCATCTTTGAGAAACTCATGTATTCATTTATTTATGATATGTTCATTAAGCACTTATTTTGTGCGAACAACTGTTGTTTGTTGTTGTTGTTTAGTCACTAAGTTGTGGTGTCTTGACTCTTTTTGCAACGCCATGGGCTGTAGCCCTCCGGGCTGCCCCTGTCCATGGGGCTTTCCAGGCAAGAATATTGGAGTGGGTTACCATTTCCTTCTGTAGGAGATCTTCCTGACCCAGGGATTGAACAATTGTTTCTGGCATTGGCAGGTGGATTCTTTACTACTGAGCCACCAGGGAAGCCCATTTAGTTCGTTAGACTGCTGCTAAATCCCCCAAGAGCCGACTTATTGGGAAAGACCCTGATGTTGGAAAAGATTGAGGGCAGGATGAGATGGTTGGATGGCATCACCGATTCAATGGACATAAGTTTGAGTAAATTCTGGGAGTTGGTGATGGACAGGGAAGCCTTGTGTGCTAGAGTCCATGGGATCAGGAAGAGTCAGACAATGATTGAGTGACTGAACAACAACAAAGTCCCCCAAGAAGCAGCAAGTCATGGCAGCTGGAGGAGGAATCCACCTATAGTTTTATTTCATGCCACACAGGATTTGTGTGCTTCAGCCAAGCTGATTAGAAACAGTTGCTTCCCCATCACCCTGGAGGGCCCTGGTAGATGATGAAACATGTCCATATTTTCCCACTATGGGAGTCTGTTTATAGATACAATTTTGTGTTTCAACAGAAAACTGTTCTTAACAATGGAGGGCCTACCAAACCCAAAAGAGATCGGAATGATAAAAGAGATGGTGATGACAATGCAAGTAGTTCCTGGGTTTCTCAGCAAGCAGCTATCTCAGAAACGAGAGAACAAGGGAATTCTCCCCAGAACAGCAGAGCTCTCCCTGAAGGAATTCAAGAACCTTCCACTGATGGTGCAGCAGTCTCGGATGAAACACTTGGTGAGTGTTAAAATAAGTTCTCTTGCTGATAAACGTTGAAACTCAGTGATGCATTTGTGGGGCTCATACTTTTCAGCTTTTATGTATTTATGAAAATTTTCATGAGAAAGCTAAACAACTTAAATCTCTTATATCTGTGATTAATGAACTATAGAGACCTAGTTCTGAGACTGATAGTTTTTAACATTAAACTAAGTCTATTATTTTTCCTTTGAAAAGTGGTTCTCAGCTGATTCCTTTGATTGGTGTGAACTCTCTCAGGTTAGTCACCTTTCTCTGCAGGTAAAAGAGGAGCTACAGCTAGATGGCCCAGGAGCAGTTCGGGGTCTTACTCTCTGTGTGCCAGGCACATTGTAGATGCTTCATAAAGTGTTTTTGCATGAATTAATCAATCTCATTCATCAGAACACTGGCCCTCACTGCTAGCTAAGTGCTGGAGGCATAGCATGCTTTGTTAGTGTCAAGTAGAGTGGGTTCTGTAGGTGACTGTGTACTCACATCTTGCATTGCCTTTCCCCAGGATGCTGAAATTTAGTGGCTCCTGAGGTAGGAAAACTGTTTTCTGTCTTTCCCTGGCCCCCCATATCAGCCCTAAGTAGACTATTACCTATGAATCTGATCAGACAAAATTATTTAAATAATGTATCTTTATAGTATATTTTTCCATTATAATCAGGTTGTATGTACACCATGGAAACAGACTCTGGTCAAATTATACCACCACAACAAAATCACTGGGTGAATAGTTCCTAGATTAAAAGGAGCAGAGAACAAACAGCCACAGCCAGGAGCCTGAGCAGCCCTGAGACCGTGGCATCTGGGGTCCATTGATATCTCTGGGGCTCTGTGTCTGTAGCTTCCATGATTTTTAGGTTCTAGTTTTGTCATTGTTCAGATTCCCAGGAGAGGGAATCCAGTTTGGGCAGCTTAGGTCACAGGTCTCTGACCCTGACTCAGGTAGAATCAGAGGACAGGGCAACTAAGCAGATGGTGAGCCAGGCAGCCATCACAATTTATGTGTAGTCTATTATGCCATTTTATTGAAAACTGGATTATATTTTGGAGGAAAGAAAAGTTTCCACAATCAAGATACCTTAACAAACTATTGTGGACATTTTAATTTTCTCCCAACTTTTTTTTCTTATGAACATTTTAAAGACTTATGGTCTCCATATAATTACTCTTCTTTTAAATATATGTTTTTCCTTAAGAATATCCAGTCTTCATAATCATTTCAACAGGCATATAACACTTTATTGAGTAAGTATAACATAATTTATTTAGCTACTTCCCTCTTTTTGTTATTTTTTGTTTTTCATTTGAGGACTTTTTAGAGAAAATCATCAATCATGAAAATCATGCCACCAAAAAAGAATTGTACATATTTTGGATTCTTTTAAATTACGTCCTCAGAATTTGAATTACCAGATTAAATAGTATTTACCTTTTTTCTGAACTTGATAAATATTGCTAGATTAACCTTACAGATGTTAAGTCTTTGGACCCACTGAGTGAATTTTTAAATAATTTAATCTCTCTTGCCAGTTGTTGGATCTGGGTGATTAAACAATTTATATTCTCACCCCTTAAATGATGGATTTCCAAGATGAAAAATATGTTTATTGTAAGAATCATATCATGTTTGTCTAATATATTTTCTTGAACAAGTAATTCTTTGTTATATGTACAATATAATATTTTTAAGTATGGTTAACTTAATCACTATGGACTGAACAAAGATGGTGATGATCAGGCTAAAGAGTTGAGAAATAAAAACAGGCTTAAAATTTATTTTTAAGTTCAAGTAACTTATCTAAAATACAATATTCTAAGATAAGTTTGTTGATATTTGAATGATAAACAATACCAAATAAAAAATCCTACATTTAAAAATTATAAATATTTTAGTAAGAATCATGACCCTTAATTTTGAAAAAGCCTTTTTTATAAGTAGGAAAACAATCCATCAAAACTACTTAGAATTTTTGATGCAATAAAAATTAATTTTAAATAATTACTTAGAATTTGTTACCAAATGTAATGTTAAAACTGATTGTATCCTAAAAGGTAGCAGAGTACTGAATTGTCCTCTTAACAATCAGAGCATGTACCATTATATCAGGAGTGATTCCTGTCTCATTTCTAATGCTGTATCATGATACACTAAAAAGTTAAAGCTTTAATTTTTTTAGCCTCTCAATTTCTCGTTTTTTTTAACTGTAGAAATTTTTATTTGAACTTCATTCCATTGATAGATGAGCTTAGGTAAAACTGACATCTTAACTATACTGAATCTTCCAATTCATTAGCACAATGTAATAGGCAGAATTCTGAGGTGACTTCAAGATCGCTGTTTGTGCATTGTGCATGCTGAACGCGTATCCCCTTGAGTGTATCCTGCTGGAGAAGGAAATGGCAACCCACTCCAGTAGTCTTGCCTAGAAAATCCCATGGATGGAGGAGCCTGGTGCAGGCTACTGTCCATGGGGTCACAAAGAGTCGGACACGACTGATCCTGCTAATGAATGTTAAATCCACTAATCCATACTCAAGGGGAAATGCAAGCTCTCAAATTCTTGAGCCTTGAAAGTCCAGTAAAATCAACTTTTCTATTACAGTGTTTTAAAAAACTTGAACCTAACATTTGCCATGAAAATTGACGTCTTCTTTCTCTTTTACTTCTAGAATATCTTGGAGATCCACGTAGAAATATACAGATGCCAAAATCACTTCTGATTACAGCAAAAGAGAAGTCTCGTCCAGAGCTGTCAGCCATGTACCTTATTCGCAGCCTGTTCACAGACGAAGTCCTGATGAATAGTGTTCGTGGCAGTCTGGGGCATGGAGTGTACTCCCTGGACACCAATGAGATTAATGCTCTTCGAGGTTTGTTACATGTTGAGTATGTGAGAATAAATAAAAGCAAAGTGTATTAGAGAGGATAAAGAAAAATTTATTCAGTTTGTGTAAGTTTTGAGGAGAGAGGCTGTTCTTTTACTAATTCCCTCATTAGGGTATGACAGGAGCAGGTTCCTGAATGTGTTGCTTTTTGCCTTTGGGTTCTCGGGGCTAATTGCTCTGCTTGATCAGCATTATTAGAACAGGAAAGGCATTATCGACTGTGACTTCTGGTATGGACTGCCAGATGTATGGAATCTCAAACACCTTCATTTACTGGGGATCAAAATTGAAGCTGCTGGGCTTTATCAGTTTGCAGAAGTGTCAGCAGTAGTATAGCAGGTTAATTTGCTAGTTTTTGCTTGTGCACATGAGCATAGTATAGTCTTTATCTGTGACATAAATAGATGAAATAATAAAGTTTCCAGAAGCAACTCTGTGAAATCCTAAATTTAGACCAAGCAGTAAACAGTATTTCTTACTTATGTCACTGGTACCCAGCAAAGATACAGTTCTCAGCCCTGGCCTAATCTCAGTTGCCTGGTTCCTGCCTTCATATCACACGTTTCACATCCATCAGATTTGAAGAACACTTGTGTTTCACACTACACTAAAGCATTTGCTATCTCATCTAATCCAGTTGTTTTCAAACTTTTTTTTACTGCAACCCACAGTAAGAAATATGTTTTACATTGTGACTCAGTATGTGTGTGATTTTTTTAAAAACTGAAGCAAAAATTTCACAAACAATATTTACTCTTTCTATAACAATTATGTTTCAGTATTTTCTATTCTATTACCTTTTATTTAAAAAGTGCTGCTATTACTGATTTCACGACCCAGTAATTGGTCACAACTTGCAGTTTAAATGTCACTGAACTCACCTGTCAGGCAAAAAATCAAAACCCATTTCCTCTTACCTTACAGTAAAAAAAAGAACTGAGTTTGTAACCAGTTTGGAAATGAAGGTGTTTATAGAAGAAATAGTCTTTCTAATTAAAAAATTGTGTTTTAACTGCTGATTGCTGATCGGTATCAGCAATGGGTAAACCTCATTATTCTATTCTCATTTCACTTTTTATCCTAAGATTTTATAATTTGGAGGGAACTCTTCTGAAAATTAGTAGTCACAGATAAATATGTCCAGAAGCCAGAGATTGATGTCATATAAGAAACTATGATGTGACGCCCTCTGAGAGCTCAGTTATCATTTAAGTTCTCTTTAGAGAATGGTCCATATGGAGAAAGTTAATAAGCTATTTGTAATGAGCAAACAACCCTTACTCTTGCCCCTCTCCCCTCCATTTCTGAATATCACAGAACTGGAAAATTATGGCAATAGGAAGTACATTAGGTCCTCTAATACAGCGAATCTTTCAGAGCAGGCATTCCCACCAGCATCTGTCACCTTTGATTCACCATCTCTTTACTGTGGGATTTTTCAGTGGAGACTAACTCTGGAGTTAGGCATTTCTTACATGCACAACCAAAATCTTTCCCCACTAAGAAACTTTTATGACTAATGTTTCAGAGAATACATTTTGGGAAACAACCAACCAATTTAGGTTCCTTGTTGCAGTCTATTGAAAGCTTTGCAGGTACTTGTCTTCCAGTCTATTATCTGTCCCAGTTTTGCTGTCTTTGGGAGATGGGACAAGCCTGCTTTCCATAACTTCTTTTTTGTTAATAAAAATGTGCAGCAGGATAGAACTTGATATTGAATCCAGCGTCATACCACTAAAGCCTCCTTCCAGGCTACCACTAATCTGTTAGCCCTTTGAATATGAAAGCTTTTTTACTTTGTCACATAACATGCTAAAAAATTTGGACATACACTGTGTTTATGGCATTGTCCTGATTTCCCAGCCTGTTTTTAAATTTTAAAAATCTATTTTATTTGACCAGAATATATTAAATATCATGACTTCAACATGTAATCAATATAAAAATTACTGACAAGATAGTTTACCCTTTTTCCAGCCTATTAATCCTATTGAAAAGCAGATGAAATTAATGTAGCCAAGTGACGCTGGCCTGTAGTGATTGCCAGATCCTTTTCTAAGAGCTCAAAGGTACTTAGGAAATTACCTAAGAAAGTACCTAAGAGCAGCTGTGCTCTTCTGGTTAACACTGTCTTCCCCACCTTTCCCTTTGTTCTCCCCCTTTCTCTAAGAGTGCTCCTTGAGGTTTGTTGCCCTGTCCCCTTTTGTTACAGAAGTTTTCATTTAACTGCAAGATCTAAAGACTCTTCTTTCTTTTGTCTGAGATAAACCAAGCAGTGGCAAAGAATTTAGCAGTCATAGCTTCTTGCCTCTAAAATTATGAAAGACACTGCAGCCTCTGGTGTATTAGAGCCTTAATATTAATAGCATGTCTTTATGATACAATGAATAATATGCTAGATGCGTGTTTGATAAATTTAAGAATAAGGAAAGTTTATATTGGGTACTGAAGACAGCAGAGCGTTTCCATCCTGGTTATATAGCAAGATCATGGGATATTGGGTTTTTTTTTTTGTGTGTGTGTGTGATTGAAGAATGGTGCTATTTCATATTATTATCCTTTCAGATGAAAAGATTTGTTCAGCTAATTTAATGAAAGTTACAGTCCATGTGTTTTAATTAAAGTCTTAATGACCTTTTCACAGAAAGAGAAATAATATTAAGGTTGAATAAATTCATTTCTCTGAGAAGTGATTTCTAATTAACTGTCATATTTTGGGACTTTACCACCAGAGTTTCTCCAGGACATCTACCCGACTTGTGATCTATCGGAAAATGGATACAACTGGAAATTGTGTGTGATGGCTATCAATAGTTGTATTCATAGTCTTAGATATGACCCGCAGAGGTCCACAGCTGAATCACAGTCACCTCCAGCAACGACTCCTTCAACAGAGTCCAAACCGAAAGATACCGACTTAGCTGACTAAATGTTAGCCATCCAACTTTTTCTTGTTTGCTATTGTACCAGCCTGTAAGTTTCTCAAGTTACTGATTCCAAAATTAGCCTGTTGTAGTAGCACTGTACATCAGTATTCACACTTAAAGAAACAACCTACATTCTTTTTCTGCCCACAAGGGAGGCAGAATTGCATTAGGAAGATAAGTGATGTTTAATCTTATGAGTAAAGTGATGGGCAGTATTCCAATAAGACCCTCTCAGTAAAAGAATGTAAACTCCTAAAGACTGTTACTATTGCTATTTTATTTTTTTATTTATTATTGTTGTTTTAATGTAGAGTGAAAATAGTACTTTTAGCTCTTAATGACAGATGTGATCTGAGTGTTAGTGATGCAGATATGAGTAGTGACGTAGAGCCATACTTGGATAGGCAAACCATAATACCGAGCATGGGAACTTGGAGGTATTGACACTCAACATGTCAAGTGATTGTGCAGTACAGAGCTTGAGTTAAGCTACACTGTTTTAGAAGGCCAGTATGGCTTACATATAACCAAAAAATCCTGCAGATTCTTAATTTCAGAGTAATTCATCTAAATTAGTCTTTGGCTTCACTATTCACTATTATTTTGCAAATAATTTTACAAACTACTAGTAATAGAGTTAATACAGAAAAGTTAATTTATACCCTAGGCAAGGTTAAATTTCAAATTGTACATGCAGATTTAAAATTTGATTTGTATTTTGTGGTATCTGAAATATTTCCTGTATTAGAAGCAGAATTACAAAAATAAAAACTGCATATTTACAGAAGTTTTTCAAGATTTATACAGTTAGCTTTATTATAGTGTTTGTTTATATAAGTTACTAGACCAGCCCTGTCTAATAGAACTTTCATTATGTTGGTAAAATTCTATGATTTTACATTGCCCAACATGGTTGTAGCCTGTGGCTACAAAAGCCTGTGGCTTTTGAGCACTTGCGATGGGGCTACTTAGATGTAGGAATTACCTTTTAAATTGTATCTCATTTTAGCTAATTAAAATTTAAATAGTCACATGTGGATGGTGGCTACTATATTAGATAGCACAGATTAGAATGCACATTAAAAAAAGTGTTTAAAATTATCCCACAGTTTGAGTCATAGTAATATACACACTGGAGAAGGAAACAGCAGCCCACTCCAGTGTTCTATTTTTGCTTGGGAAATCCCATGGATATAGGAGCCGGGTGGGCTATAGTTCATGGGGTCAAAAAGAGCAGCTGAGTAGCTTTCACTTCACCTCCATATATACATAACTTTAATATCATACCCATTGAGCAAAATAAGTTTCATAAAGGTGTTTCAGATCTTACTTAAACTAAATTAGACCTTTTGTATCCAGAACAACAATGTTCAAAATTTCACAGGTGTTTTATTATTGTATTAGTCCAATATTAAACATTTAAAATGCCTGTTCATAAGACTTGTTTTTGATAAGTTTATCTTTAGTGTATTATTTTCCAAATAAATACAATAAATAAACATCTTGTTTTCTTAACACAGATGCTTTGTTTTTTTTATCATGTAATTTTATAGAACTTTTACTAATGTCATCTGTACCTATTCCCTGGTGGCTCAGATGGTAAAAGAATCTGCCTGCAATGTGGGAGGCCTGGGTTTGATCCCTGGGTTGGGAAGATCCCCTGGAGAAGGAAATAGTAATCCACTCCAGTACTCTTGCCTGGAGAATCCCATGGACAGAGGAGCCTGGCTGTCTACAGTCCTTAGGGTGGCAAAGTGATGGACACTACTGAGCCATTAACACTTTCTGCATAGCATTTTTAATTTAATGATAACATTTCCAGCTAGGTTCATTAATGTGGCACATTAGAATGTTTGCTTTCTTGCTTGATAAGCAAACAATAGTTTAATCCAGTAACAATAATTTACCATTGTGGGTATAACTGCAGGGATCTTGAAAACTTTGAAACTGTTTTGTCCTTCCTGGGTAAAACAAGTGTTACTAAAGCATAATATTATTTTATACTTTAATATTTATTTATTTAAATATATGCCAATATTTTAATTTTGGTCAGTAAGGCTTCAATGTTTAGCTCTGGCTTTTACTTTTCTTTATAGCCCATATCCACATCTAGTGAAGTAATATCTTTGCAACATCAGGCAACAGTGGAGATCTAACCACATTAACTCTTGTGTAGAAGTAAAGCACTTGTCACGCCTTCCTTCACCCTAATTTTAACTCACGTTAAACTTGCAATTAATTTTTTTCACCATGATTTAAAAAAACCCTGCACATTCACTCTGAGATGGAATAATTGGGAATCTCAAATGACCAGGAAAATTAATTTGAAAGATTGGCAGGTGACAGGTTTAAATCTCAGGACACCAACACAGGTGGGCAAGAAACACTTTTCTATAACAATTCCTGTTTTGATTTCACAGCTTTCAGATATCTCACCAGCCCCTTTGGGCCAAGACCCCCGCCCCCGGGAGTCCCCAGTGGGCAGGGCTGGGTTTTAGCTCACTAGGCTGCGCGGACCGGGTCGGGTAATGCCAGGCTTTCCAGGCAGGGTTCGGCTCTGAATTCCCCTGCAATGTGGGAGCACGGGCCCCCTTCACGAGGTTCCGGCTGTTCTCGGGAGGTTTTCAGCCCCGCCAACCCACTCTCAGCTCCCGCACGGCTGGCCTGCCAGCGTCCAGGTGTCCTCTCCTCTGGGGAGACCGGCCAAGAGACGCTCTCCTCAGCGCCTTGCCTGAGTGGGCAAGTCAGCCTCTGGGGCCAGCAAAAGTTCTCGTTTGAGGGCCCCGCCGAGGGGCCTGGTCAAAGTACTGCAGCTGAGCGCAGGGGCTTGGGACTACTGCTCGGGCGCTGCAGGTGCGGTCTCAGCCCAGGTACAAGTGCTGCTTTGGTGCCAGTCCCTCGGCCCCTTCTGAATCACAGTCTTACTCCCAGTGGGCAAGTCCTGTGGGGCGACACTGGAGCAGGGGCTCCCACAAAGTGGCCCACTTTGTCACTGGCTTCCCGCCACCACCTGCCCTCAGCCCCTTTCCCACCTGAGGACGCGGAGACTCGGGGGAGACGACAGTGAGGGGCTGCGCGGGCATGGGGGAGGGGCAGTGTGGAGCCACTTCCCCGAACTTTCCACGCGGTGTCTGGGGCTCTGCGGTGCAGAGGGTGCTTCAGCCTCACCCCCGCGTTCTAGGCTCCCCTCAGTGGTGTCCTTTTTTCGGATGGTTGGTGGTTCCTGTGAGGGTGAGCGAAGTCGGAGCGACCTGTGACGCCATCTTGATGACGTCGCTCTTAGGCTCGGGTTTCAGCCTCCACGCATTGGAGTGGAAACTTAGCATTCGTTTTTCAAGGCATGTGAGTTTCCCACAAATGCGAGGAGAGCCCCTAGGATGTGAATGGAGATAGTAGGTTGGGGAGAATACCGACTGGCGGGAGTTTTCATCCGTAGTTGTAGGGGTCTTACACAGTGCTATATGGCTGGGGAGAGGTTTCAGAATCGGTTTCTTGCCATCTTTCTTAGCCATCAGCTGAGATAGCTAGTTGTCCCGTCTACTCTTTAGACATTGGCCCAGAACCATCCTTATTTCTGTCCACAGGACCCATTCAGATGGAGCAGCTCCTATCTCTACTCCTTCCAGGTCCCCCTGGAGCTCATGGGAAATGTTTGGTTGCCGCTTCATTGTTTTGCATAACGGGAAACGGGTTTTATCCAGTTTTCCATATACTTCTTTTTTATATTTAATTTTAAAAATTTATGTTTGGTTGTGCTGGGTCTTGGTTGCTACAGGGGCTTTTCTATAGTTGCGGCAAGTGGGGGTTACTCTCTAGTTCTGGTGCTCAGGGCTTCGCCTTGCCGTGGCCTCTCCAGCAGAGGAGCACAGGGCTCTAGGGTACTGGGGCTTCAGTAGTTGTGGCGCAGGGACTCAGTTGTTCCAAGGCATGTGGAATCTTCCTGTTTTGGGGGTCAAACCGATCCCGGGAAGATTGGTTCTCTCCTGCATTGACAGGCAGATTATTTACCACTGAGCCACCAGGGAATCCCGTTTTCCATATACTTCTGTTACCGAATTAGGTCACAGACTGCCACTCGGGCCCTAGCCTGGCCAAGGCCCGCATTGCCTCGAGGTGAAGATTCTTTTTATGTTCAGGTTCTGGCAGCCAAAAAGTAAACTCAAGCTGACATCAAAACAGGGCAAGCTTAATTCAATGGCCAGAGGATGGAAAAGTGAGAACTCACTTTGCCAGTCAACTTCTCTATGTGGGGGTGGGAGGTGGGGGTGGGGGATGTGGTCACGAATAAGACAAGATTTTTAACTGGCAAGGTTAATAAGGAGGAGTCATGTACTTTGATTTTCTGGGAATAGGTGGGGCTCTTCCTGGAACTGGAGTGCCATCTCTTTTCTGCCCTTGTGTGTTTGGCATTTGGGTCAGAAGCAGGTCAAACCATCCTGGTGAGGACAGGTGGAGATCTTAAGATTACAGTGAGTTGATGATGAGATGCAGGGCAACCTTTGTCCCACTTTGGAAGCTGAACAAGCTTTCACTAGTTTTCTTGTGGATGGATTCTGTTCTGTGCTGTGAACACAGCTAGAGGATATGGTTAGTTGTGGTTTTCTGCTCCTCTGCCTGGATGGGGAGGGTCAGAGGTATAATTCTGTGGCAAGAGCCTTGGGAAAACTTCCATGCAGGACCAGCTACTTAAGTGGCTCAGAGGGTAAAGCATCTACCTGCAATGTGGGAGACCTGGGTTCGATCCGTGGGTCAGGAACATCCCCTGGAGAGGGAAAAGGCAACCCACTCTGGTACTCTTGTCTGGAAAATCCCAGGGACGGAGAAGCCTGGTAGGCTACAGTTCATAGGGACACGGCTGAGTGACTTCACTTTCACATTTTCTTTCATGCAAAATGATGAATTCAGGTTTGATACTGTTTAAATAGCATGGTTTTAATTTTTTTATTTGAAAGATAATTGCATTACAGAATTTTGTTGTTTTCTGCCAAGTATCAACACGAAT